ACACACAGATTAACACACACAGATTAACATTTAAACTAAAGACAAAGATGGAAGTAAATACAAGTCAAATATTAATCATAATGGCTGCCAATGTTTCAGCAAATAAAGAATAAAATAAATCCAGTGAACAAAGGAGTTTTTTTATTTTTTCAAATTTATTTAATTTTTTCACATTTTTTTCTTTTGAAAAATAAAAAAGTAAAAAATAAAAAAATAAAGGACAAACAATTTTTTACCCAAAGTGAATTAAATAATCTTTTTTACAAGTTATGTTACTCCCATTTCTTTGTTTAATTGATTCCTCAAAAGAATCCAATGGCTCATCAATTTGGATGATGGTTCATATTCCTGATTTTCCTGGAACCACAATTCCATTATAGGATATACAACACTCGGCTCAAATGGATATAATTTCATCACAATTCCTGCACAACACAAATGGACGACAGAAGAAACTGAAAAAATAAAAAAACAAAAAAAAAAAACAGTTTATATAAGCCATCACCATAATGTGTAATTTTTTCAAAATAGAAATAAATTAAAAATTCTTCATTAACATACTCAACAAAAATTAATGATTTAACACTAACTACTTTACGAATTAAACATCAAATGACAGTAATCATATTATAATCTCCTTTTTGAAATTCATGCCAAGCTTTCATATTGTCCTCCACTATCTGCCGTGATTGATAATATTTAATCTATTTTTGGCCAGCACGTTATCAAAACAACTTTGACACAGATAGGAAATCAATGAAACATGTGGATAGTTTAAATATCAAATCCCTTCATACCAATGTTCTTTACAACAAATGCTTGAATTTTAAAAAAAAATTTTTAAAAATCTAGTAAAATAAAAAATAAACCTCTCCTTACAACACTATTTACATTATTCAGACTATTGTCCTCATCTTTGTCACCATATTTATTACAATGTCTCGGCTGTTGTATGCTCCAGCCTTTTTCAGGTGGTTCAAATGTTCAACTAAACCCTTTATTTCGCTCATTGGGGTAGACTGTTCTTGTGCCAGGTTTAATGGATGTCAGTTATCAGTTATCTCTTGTTAATTTCCCTCTCCAAGTTCTCCACTGCCTTAACCGAGTATTGAACTTGCACTCTTTGGGTCCTGTCACTGGATCTAACCAATGCCTTTACCCACTATGCCATGTGTCCTCAAGGACACATGGCACAGTGGATAAGGTAAATAGTGTACATAATACCTTATCTCAGAAATATAGACTCTCCCTACAAATTGATAAAATCCTAAAAATTTGACAACTCATTACAAACCGACATCATAATTTTATAAGCAAAAATTTGGGTTACCAATGGGATCACCTCTCAGTTAAGTTTTAGCCTGTTTGTTCTTAGAATTTCTTGAATCTGGTCCTTTCCAAAATATTTTACCTAAACAATCAACATATTTCCGATATAATGATAATGCTTTATTAATGCATTTCTGCAAAACAATATTACCTGACTAAATATATAATGCATGAATTCATCTCCCTCTATGGGTTAAATAACAGAGAAAACATGTTTAGATACTTACCTTTGAGAATTTCTACAAACTGATCTGTACAAAAATATTTTACCTAAGCAATAAACATATTTTTGATATATTGATATTTTATTAATGTATCCCTTCAAAACAATATTACCTGACCTTACAGATAAACTAAGCCAAACATACAGTAGAATTTCATTATGAAACAGAAACAAACAACACATTACCTTTCTTTGGTATCATGTTAAACTGTACTGATAATGGCCTAACATTAAGTGTCTATTGTAAAGCTACTAATAAAACTGAAGGTGTTAAATAATATATAGCCAGAGTACTAAATCAGCTATGGCAGTAATATTCAATGCACGGATGAACGTGCAAGATGGATTCTGGCAAGAAAAATTGTCTGGCAGGTTAAAGTGACGCAACCTTCCCAGAAGCAGAACCAAGAAATTGATTCAATAGAATTCTTCCACTTCTTGTGAGTAGAAATTGTGAGACCAAGAAGGTGCAACAAATTGCTCTTCTGGAGGCTGGCATCATGTTGATGGTGGACAAAAATGGTTGTCTATGATGCTTAAAGGATAGCAGGTTCATTTTGGAGGTGTTAAAATTAACGAGTCATTTCTTGCCCCAACTGATTGGAGGTCATTTTTAAGAACAGCTGCTAGATTTACTTTGTCAGACTTATCAGATTTACTATTAAGACAATTAATAGACAAAATTAAGAGTTCTAGTTATGATTTCTTGAAAGATAACAAATATGAAACTCCTGGGGAAGGTTTGAAAGTAGAGTTATCAAAATATTTGGATAACAACTAACATGACATACTGTTTAACAACATTGTCACCTTCTGTAAATGTAACAGAGAAAGAGTCTGGGAAACACACACACACATATATATATATATATATATATATATATATTTTTTTTAGTGAAATTGGAGTAGATTTGAATAGCAAAATTAAATCAGAGCATTTTGTTTACTGATGGAGGAAATCTGATCTCGGGCAGAAGTTGTACCCATTGAATCTGGGTCATCAGGAGACAATGGAAATTGTCGAAATAATTTTTATCAATTACAAATTGAAATAGAGCTAAGTAAGCTAGAAGGAACTTTGGAATTCACATGATTTTGGTTGAAGCAGCCAGAACCCCGTGATAATCGCGTGCGAAGTAGTAGGGCCGAAAGTCAGTTATAACCAGTCGGGTTTATCTATATAAACGCGTAGTTATGCTGAAAAAAGGCAGACGGAAAAAAATCCTTGAAGAGAAACGAGGAGAACTAATAACTTTAAGCCCAGGCAATCTTTTATTGGGAGGAGGAATGCCACTATAACTTTAAGTCCTGCACAGAAATCTTTATCCCTCTTTTTTTTTTTTTCCGTTTCTCTTCTCTACTATTCTTTTCTGCTATATAAAAGACATTAACAATTCAATCATTGAATCGATGTTTGTCCGGCTTTCTGCAGATATTAATTTTTTTTTTGCTGCATTCTAAATTTCTTAACACAGACTCCCCAGCCGTGTCTACATCTTCAGTCGACCATGAATGAACAGTCATCACTTCTTCTTTCTGGATCAAACCAGACACAACATGGCCAGGAAACAGGATTAAACCAGCGGACCGGTTGAATAATCTACGGACGTTCAGGGGACCTATGGCCACTCCCTTAAGTTTGGTTAGGACTGAGTAAACACCTCAACCCAGAGAGTAAGACGCCAGAAGTTGAGGGGCCGGGGCAAAAGTGTTAAATCAATAATTCAGAGAGAAATGACCAAAACATGACAAATTAAAAAATAATGTAAATAAAATAAATAAAAATTGAAATAAACTATGACTAAGATTTTGGTTCCTAGAGCCAGAAACCCAAAAGCAGTCATAAATTGAATCCAAACTCATTCTGGCTACTTTTGCAATGATGCTGGTGGCAATCTCTTCCTTTGGACAACATTTGCAGTATGGACAGAGAAGATATGTTGTATGGACAACTGTGTTACCTCACCTGTGCTCAATTGATAAAACAGACACTGCGTTATGACCATCAATTGAATTTTTAAAATTCCCAGCCACACATACATTGTCTTCCTAGACCAACTGATGCCACAGACTGAAATTTGGTTTAAGGAACCAACATATTATGCAGTTTGACTGACTTTCTGATCTTTATTTCTTTTGGAAATCTTTGAGAAAAGAAAATGTTCAAAGTGTGAACTTGTGGCTCTGAAGTGGTTGTATATAGACCTGCTATTTGCATAAAAATGGATCCAAAGTAAGGGTCCAGTTTAGCATTATATCTATATTGTAAATTGAACCATGCCCAACATTTAAAAAAAAAAGTTCAGTTTCAGATAAAGTGAAAGTGAACTTTTATAGAAAACCCATAAAAATAAGAAAATACACAGGTTCCCAAAATCAAATGAAATCCATTATGTATCCAGTTGTTTTAATGATCTGACAATTGTTTTAGAGGATAAATGGGAAAATAAAGCCAGAATTAGTATTACTTACATTTGGTAGAACTCAGGAATGGTTTCAATAAAGAGTTTATCACAAATGGAATTATTTTGTGTCTTTTCTTGCTTTTCATGCACAAATTTCCTGAAATTATAGGAAGGAAAAAGAACAAGTTAATTTTGATTTTTTTTAAATTATTAGAAATAACAGAAGAAAAAGATTAAGAGAAAGAAGGAAAAGGAAATAAGGAAAGGAAAAAGAAAGAAAAAAAGGAAAAAGAAAAGAAAAAAGGAATAATAAGAAAAAGAAAAAGGAAAAAGAAAAAGAAAAAAGAAAAAGAAAAGAAGAAAAAAAATGAAAAATGAGGATAAACATGCCCGAAAAATAACATTTTGTCAAAAGGAAGGTTTTTTCTCGAAACCACTTTTTTAACTACCTTCACTTTTTGGCAAAGTTCATTGTTTTAAAAAGTGATAATTAAAATTTTAATAAAACTTAAACATATGACAAAAGCGAATTTATACATTTTTTCTACTGAGAATTTACAACTAAAATAATAAACACTGTTTATTATATCGTTTAGTGGAATGGTTGGCAAAACATCGGCTAATTGCCAATTGATTTGAACTTTATAAAATTTTCAATAATAAGGATATAATGATTATAAATTTATGAATAAAATTGTTTTCATATTTATTTTTTTTATAAATTAGTAAATGATAAATATTGCATTGTATTCGTTTTAATTGTATTAGTTTTTAAAATGTTGTCAATATAAAACTATTCTTGTAAATAAACAATCTAATAAATAAATAATGTTTAATATTTTTTGTGGTGAATTCTCAAGAACAAAAAAAAAAGTATATAAATTCAATTTCATCGTATGTTTAGGTCTTATTGAAATTGTAATCATCGCTTTTTAAAACTATAAACATTGCCAAAGAGTGAAGGGAGTTAAAAGTGTCAAGGTAAAACAAAAAACGTCCTTTTGACACTGTGTCTTATTTGCAGGAGGGTTTGTCCTTGTTTGTCAAGAAAATAAAAGAAAAGAAACAGAAAAGAAGAAGAAAATAAGAAAAACCAAAAAGAAAATAAAAAAGAAAAAAGAAAAGAAGGAAATAAGAACAAGAAAATAAGAAAAAGAAAAGAAAAGGAAATAAGAAAAGTAAAATAAGAAAAAGAAAAGGAAAAAGAAAATAAGAACAAAGAAAAGGCGAAAATAAGAAAAGAAGAAAATAAGAACAAAGAAAAGAAGAAGAAAATAAAAAAGAAAAGAAGAAAAAAGAAAAGAAAAAAGAAAAGAAGAAAAAAAAGAAGAAAAGAAGAAAAGAAAAAAGAAGAAAAGAAGAAAAAAGAAAAGAAGAAAATAAAAAAAGAAAATAAAAAAAGAAAATAAAAAAAGAAAAGAAGAAAATAAAAAAGAAGAGAAGAAGGAAGTAAGAAAAAGAAGAATGAAAAATAAATAGAAAAAATGGAAGCATGAAAACTGCAGTTTTATGACAGAATCTCCACAAAAAGGAATTAAATATTTTGAATCCATCATATTGTCATCTTTAACTTTAGGAAGAATTAATAAAAACATTTCATTAATGACACCATTACTCACCTAACATCTGAAAGACATGGAACAGTAGACAGTTAAATTCTGCTTGTCTGTCTTCTGGGGGTTCAAATTGTAAGCATTTTTTAAGTAAATGATTTATTCGACTGCGAAAGAGACTCACTGTCCACAGCCATTTTTCTTGCAAACTCAGAAGTTCAACTCCTTTGACATAACAAAAAATTTCATCTAAAATTAAAAGAGAAAGAATTTTTTTTTAAATATCGGAAAAAAATAAAAGAAATTAGAAAAACAACACCCTATTTTTAAATTTGATTTTTTTTTGTATTTAAAGGTATACAGTATATGTGTGTGTGTGTATATATATATATATATATATATGAGTAATAGATGTAGATAGGAATTTATTGAATCCCAAATTCCTAAAAATAATTAAAATATATATTTCTTACATATTATTTTTTTTCAAAAATGATGAAATGAATGTTCTTGATAAGGATGAGAAGTGGTTGAAGATAATCAAACAAAAATATGATGAACTTTGCCTAAATTCTTTATAAATTTGATCCAAGGTGTCACAGTGACTCAGGAAAAATGTAATAAAAATATAACGTAATTATTTATTTTTTAGTTACTCATAAATATATATATATATATATATATATATATATATATATATATACACACACACACACACACACATATATATACTTTTTACCTTTATGTTGTTTTAATAAAAATTTGTAAAAGATTCTAATCAGTTTTGTTATTTTGTTTATTTTGATTTTCTGAGGCTACAAAAAATAACATTTCCAATAAACATCATCTTTATATAATCAATAAGCAGGTGTCTTATACTACAGATATAAGATAAATTCATGAAAATTTGCTATATTTTAACTTGTCTTATCTAAAGGAAACATACAGAATTTGTTGCATTATTAATTAATTTCTTAAATTGTTTCAGATTAAAAAAATATGGCTTGGAATTTTATGGTAGTTGCATTTAAAACTTTTAGGATATTATAAAACTATGAAGTATAAGTAAATGGTCATTAGTACACCAGGTTGTTTGTAACTGTTTAGCTACAGGAAAAGAAAAGGAGGAGAAGGAAGAAGAAGAATAATCAGTATTTACAAGAGATCAAGTGATGAAATGTGTATGCGTAGTAAAAACATGATATAGAATCAGTTTTGTTATTTTGAATTTCTAAAGATACAGTAAATAACATTTCCAAAAACATCATCTTTATATAATCAATAAACAATACTACAGGTACAGGATAAATTCATGAAAATTGGCTATATTTTTTTTACCTTGTCTTATCTAAAGGTCACCTTTATACAAAAAAAAAAAATATATATATATATATATATATATATATATATATATATATATATATATATATATATATATATATATATACACACACACACACTGAACAATAAAAATATTAAAAAATTAAAATCTTCAGACACACTGGGTTGTATATTAATATTCCTTCATTTTTATTGTTATTTCATTTAGATTCCTCGACTAGTTTCGGCCAACATAGCCATCATCAGGAGAAAAATAATTTTCTGCTTGATGATAGCAGTGAACTAACTACAGAAATATACACAATAAAATCAGTTCACGTGTTTACGTCAGAGATGACATTTGAGTCTGGCTAATGACAAAACCACAAATGATGCAAGGGTTTCGAGATAAGGTGGATGTTAATGATGATGATGAATCTTTCATCCTCCCTCAGGTGTTAAAGATGTCCACTTTCAAAGTCATTGATGCCATTGGAACAACTAGCCTTCCACTCATTATAACCAGAAGCCATCTTCTCAAAGGTCATATGTAAATCAAAATTAGCAGATTGTGCCAAATTCAGAGCACAAATTGGGTGTGTCAGGACAGTCCAGACAAAATGTACAATAATATGATAAAAAAATTCTTTCAAAAATAATATATATATATATATATATATATATATATATAAATAAAAATCACTTGATAATTCGTAGGGATAATTTCAAGGAGGATATAAATCAAAAGAGAGCTCAATGTAAGAACAGAGCAATATAATAATGAATATAGAATCCTTTAAAATCCATTTGGTAGGTGATTGTTTATTTTGTGGACTCAGACGTCCATCTCATCACCTACCAAATGAATTTCAAAAGATTCTGTATTCATTATTTATATATATATATATATATATATATATAAAAGAAATATGTTGTAGTGGTTCCAACGAGAGAAAAGTATGTATGTTAAAAAGAAGAGAAGTGCCGCAAACGTTTTTGGTTGTAAAAAGTGGAGATTTCCACATATTATTAAAAATAATTAATTTTTCCTTATGTTCAATGTTAAATATTCTCGATATGAGACATTCTCTGTTTGTGTGTTAGTAATCCGAATTTCTTTTTTGAATTGGCAATGAAGAGTTCTGCGCAAAGGGTCATAAAACAATCAAGGTTGGTCCAGCGAGATGATAAATTAGTTATCGGCATTTTATCTTTTAATGTTTTACTGACCCCTATGTGCTCTTGGATCTGTTTCCATTTTGGTGCGTTTCTGTCAGCATGCATGTATATATGTGTGCATATATTTCCCCTCCATACATATACTGTCTTACTACGAGGAATTCGTAAACTTATTTGTACCTATATGCACATACACACTATCCCACCACAAGTAATGAGTACAGTGTGTGTGTACTGATTACAATACCATTAATACCTGATCCTAATACCATTAATTTTGTATTCAGTTTCTCACACAAGTTGGTTTCCCTTCTTTTCAGTTTTCAAAATATATTAAAGGTTTTATGTTGATTTGTTGGGAGATTTTTATAGTTTTATATTTTGGTATAAAGTTTGATTCCCTTTCAGAAGTTAAGCATACTGTTTAGTTTAGCATTTTAAAACAGTTATTTCAAAAAGAAAGATAGAGAGAGTGGGGGAGGAAAAAAAAAAAAAGCAACCAACCTTTCGTTGCTCCCGTCTCAATGCAATCATGAAGATGACTAAACAAAGATCTTTGAATGTCACTGTCTTTGGTGATCCCAGGTTTCCATTTGCAATGTTTCACCAAACATTCAAAATACTTGAGAAATAAATAAAATAAAATCTATTATTACAACAGTTGCAAAATTGCTGTTTAATGAGTTTGAGGAGAGTTGTCTCCCTTGATTTGAGAAGATTGATGAAGAAAAATATTTAAAGAAATGACAAATTTAATAAAAAAAACTTTTCTTGCAAACCTAAAACAATTCAAGATCTTTGAGTAGAACTGTTTAAAAAATGAACAAATAAAAATATTTTCCTTATTTAGTTTCAAGCATTCCAAATTTTGACAATAAAAGGGTTGAAAGCTGTTATATTCCATGCTGAGGGAATAAATACTTAACACCAAGTGGATAATAGAAGAAAGGTTTATTGTACACAACCAGTACAATATGAAATACGGTACAGTTATACACACAGGTTTTCTCGCTCTCACTCTTCCTCAAGTCTCTTGTAGACAGTTGACTTTATACGTATTTACTATCTATAGTGTAATCATTCATGGAGGTGACTGGTTATTCCATTACATCAAAAGCCAAAAAATTATTTAATCTTTTTTATTCATTTTTTTTACTAGAAATATTTTGAGTCAAACAAGATGGACATATTAGTGGAAACAGAAAGGAATAAAGTTATGATAAATGTTCATCTCAAAAATTCTGATATAAATTATTACAAAATGATAATTGTCAATGCTTCATTGAAGAAATCCAGACAACTTAAAGCGATTACTGGTTGGTGTAAAAGCAAGAAATAAGAAGATATATTAGTAAAAAATGAATAGTTGACAATACTACTTTTTTTTTTTTTTTTACCCCAAGCAAGGCCGGAAGCCACTAGGACGCAAGGGGTTACAGAAAATTTATAGCAAAATCAGATAGGAGTGATAGAAGAAAGGATACTTGATGTAAGAAATTTAAAAACTACGACTTACTTTTTTATTGTGTTGTTTCTTGCTGATAGATTTAATAACCACATATTCAATAACATGGAAGAGAGATATACGACCAGCTGAAATGGAAGAGAGAAAATTAAAATTTCCACAATAGACTATTGTTATCTCAGATTTTGAATTCAATTATTTCAGCATTCAACACATTTCTTTTTTAATTACATGATTTATCAATATGTTTCTTTAGTTTATTAAGTAAATTTTCTACTTGATAAGAAACACTTTTTGAGATGATATATTCTTCAGCATTCTTTAAGTGTATGGCATATCTGCTTGTCTAATTATTACTTTTTATTCTTTCTCATTACACAGATAGTTTAGCAAAATTAAAGAACAGAGCACCAACGTTTCCACAAGAGAACAACAAAGTTATAGAGTAGGAAAAAATGTTTTTATCATGGAAGTATACCAACTTATTACATGATCTGGAAGGCCTTAGTGATTAAAAAAGAAAAAAAAAATTCTTAATTTCTTTAGGATGTATTATGTTCCATTCAATTTATATTAAAATTTGTAATAGATCATCTAATTTCTTCATCAACAATATAATTAGGAAAGTCATTATTAATAAGGGTTTGTTTAATGTTTTTTTTTAGTTCAATGAAGAAAATATTTTTTGTAGAGGAGTTAACTTTAGCATGATTTATTAAATTTTGTATAATTCCTATTTTGTAGTAGTGTTATAGAGTAGTTTCACAGTGGAGGCTTGTATTTCACTAAGTCGGTACTAAAAAGGTTCAACGTACAAAACGTTAGGAACTTTATATAATAGTTAATGATGCAGCAATCTAGTTGTGGTGGTTGATACTTTAATGTCCGACATTGACTGACTCACCAACTCACTTCGCGACTGCTACTGCTCCTACTTATTATAGAGTGGGAGAGTCTATTAACAATAGAATAGGTATGTTCCAGTATAACAAGTAGTTAGTGCATTCACTCTTATAATTAAGAGTGTATGCATTTATGCTAGTAGGTATTTTATATGGGGAGGTAGTGTATGTATTATTATTGGTGTCTGTCAATATATCAAGGAAAGGAATTTTATTATTATTGTTAAGTTCACATGTGAATTTAAGGACAGAGTTTTTTTTAATTCTTTTTGTAGCTTATGTATATTTATTTTTTACTAAGATGAGGATATCATCAACATATCTAAGGAAGATAGAGGTTTTTTTTAATTACTAAATATATTATTTACAAAGTTAGCCATATAAAAGTTAGTAAAAGTTGGGCCCAGAACTGAGCCCATAGATATACCATCACGTTGTACACATATATTGTTTGTGTGTTCAAAGAATGGAACTTTGGTAGTATAAGTTAAAAGTAATTTCCGTAATATGTTGGGTCTAATTTTTAATGGAACGTGAAATGGATTATGATATATATATTGTTTATAATTATTGTTTCTCTAACAAGGACATTGGTTAATAACATTTCAACCACAAAGGCAAAAATTTACTTCAGGTACACAACTATTTGTCTTAGCCATCATAAACCTGAAGATGATATTGTGAATATAATCGAAATTACTTGGAAAAATAAAATGAATAAATACAATCATGGTATCTTTCTCTCTCTCTTTAATCATAAAACATCAAAGCTTACACATGATTACAAAAGGATCTTGAAAATAAACAACAAATACAACATGTCTAAATTGTTTAATCAGACATGCTTAAATGAAGATATGCTGCCCAAATATACAGAATTTAATGTATTAGTAGCAGATCAAATATTGATCAGAATCCGACAGGATGATAAAATAAAGAACAAATAGGTAATGTATATATATCAAGCATGTTTCACTTTTATTAAAGCTTCATCAGAGAATGATAGAAACAGACAAAAAGACAGAAAATACCAGAGTTTATGTCTCTTCATCTGTTTTCTCTCAATCTCTGATGAAGCTTTAATAAAAGTGAAACATGCTAGATTGATATACATTTCTTACTTGTTATTTACTTTATATATATATATATATATATATAATTTTTATGCACTACCTTTATATTGAACCCTGTTTTAAATTAATGTTTTGAATGCTGAAATCTTACTCATTGCTCTTTTACATTTGTGTGTGTATATATATATATATATATATATAAAGATGTAAGCCAGTGTACATTGGTTTGTAAAGAACTCTCTCAACTCAGTTCAAAAGTGTATATTGAATCAGTGTTCCTTACAGATCAATTAAATTTTGCTACAGTTGAAATATGGATGAACAAAATGATAAAACCTGATCTTACCACCTTGACAATCCCTGGTAACATGCAGTGGCACATTAGCTAGTGGAAGATCAGTTACAGTAGGTGACACGTCACCAAACTTTGCTTCAAAGAATGACTTTTCACACATATACCTAACCACTTTGTATTCAAAGTTTTCCTTCTCCAAGACTGGTTGATATCAAAGACTAGAGTGCCAGTCTACCTTGCTTTTAAATCATAACTAATGGAGAGAAAAGAAGGATTTATGCTCCCACCCACGAGGGCATCAGTGTGAAAAGCAAATGCAATAGACTCAGCAGAAATTTGAAATCAGTTCAGCAATTCCATTTTTTACAATGAAAACCCCTAACCCCATACACACTTGATAAAGTTTTGCAAATAACTACAATAATAAGGAAGAATCAGCAATATTTAACTTTTGTGTCCACAAAAAAAAAACAGTGTGACAAAAGGATGGATTTTCCCTTGACACCACTATTATTTTAACTACCTTCACTCCTTGGAAATGTTTATTGTTTTAAAAAGCAATGATTAGAATATCAATAAAACCTAAATCTATGAAAGTGAATTTATACATTTTCTTTGTTCTTGAGAATTTGCAACAAAAATATAATCACTATTAATTAGATTGTTTATTTATACAGTGTAACCCGGATATAAGAGAGTTGTCGGGACCGGAGAAGAAGTCTCTTATATCTGGGTTTCTCTTATATCCGGGTTATACTATTCATTATATCGGAATGGTTGGCAAAACATCAGTGAATTGCCAATTGATTCAAATTTTATAAAATGATAATATGGATTTCCTTAGAGTTGGTTCACATATTTTAATAATTTAGTAAATGTTTATAAATTTATGAATAAAAAGTGTTTTCATATTTATTTTTTTCTAAATTGATAAATGATAAATATTGCATTGCATTAGTTTTAATTGCATTAATTTTTAAAATGTTGTAATTATGAAAATTATTCTTGTAAATAAACAATCTACACTATTTACATTATTCGGACAATTGTCCTCAGCTTTGTCACTATATTTATTACGTTTCAGCCAATGTACACTCCGGCCTTCTTCAGGTGGTTGGAATGTCAAACTGAACCCTTTATTTCACTAACTGGGGTAGACTGTTCTAGTTCCACGTGCCATGCTTTAATGGATGTCACTTATCAATTATCTCCTGTTAATTCCCCTCTCCAAGTTCTCCACTGCCTTAACTGAGTATTGAACGCACACTCTCTGGGTCCTGTCATTGGATCTAACTAACACCTTTATCCACTGTGCCACATGTCCTATTTCTGGGTATTATAAACTTAATGTCTTCAGCAAACATTTTTACAAGTTCTCATACTACTATCATTGTATGTTTTTACCAGAGCTCATATTGCAATTTTTGTTGTTATTATTACTTTTCTTTGGCACTCCTTATTACTGGTTCCCATATTGTATTCATTTCTGTGCTTGGTCGACTCAGAAGATTTTTGTGGACTAGCATATGTGCTGATTCTGAAACGTTGTAATAAATATGGCGACAAAGATGAGAACAATAGTCCAAATAATGTAAATAGTGTACATAATATGTCATCTCAGAAATATAGATAGATACTGAAAGGCCGAAACGTTATAATAAATATGGCAACAAAGGTGAGGACAATAGTCCGAATAATGTAAATATTGTACATAATACCTCATCTCAGAAATATAGTCAGATACTGAACAGCCGAAACATTGTAGTAAATATGGCGACAAAGATGAGGACAATAGTCTGAATAATGTAATTTAATGTACATAATATGTCATCTCAGAAATATAGACAAACAATCTAATAGTGTTTATTATTTTTGTTGTCAATTCTCAAGAAAAAAGAAAATGTATAAATTTACTTTCATCACATGTTTCGGTTTTATTACAATATCATCATCACTTTTTAAAACAATAAATATTGCTGAGGAGTGAAGGTAGTTAAAATGATAGCAGTGTCAAGTCTTTTGACACTGTGTTTTTTTTTTTTTGCAGGCACAAAGGTTAAAGGTTAAAAACTGCCAAATTTTCAACAATACTTTTAAAATACTTGTAATTTTGCTTGACAAAAAAATCTTTTAAAAGAAATCCGTATTATTTGGCCTATGAGTAGGAACCCAAAAGAAAAAATTACTCAATACAAGCCTAAGAAAGACTGGAATGTGTATTGGTTGAAATGGTAATAAAAAAAAAAAGAAAGACACAAATGCTCATTTGAACAATTCATGAAAATATTTCATCTCAGAAGATCAGACAATAAGAAGAAGCCAGAAAGTCCACATTTTAAAAAAGTAATGATCAAAACAACAATGGTGAAGATCCTAGATGGAATAATTTGGCAAATAATGAGTCACAGCCTCAGAAGTTCAGACAACAAAAAGGTGTTGAATCTAATAATAAAAAATTTAAACATGCCTAGAAAAAAAAAACATTTTGTCTTTTATTGATTTTTCTTATTGTGTAACAGGTGAAAGTAAGCGTCAACAGAAAAAAAGTTATTAAACATGACAATTTTACCTTTTCTTTCATAAGAGAGAACCAATGGCCAAGTGCAAGCTGTGATCACAGAAAATGTCATGTACTGATCAGACGGAAGGCGGCAAAAGCTGTTGTAGAAAAACACACGGGCTTCACTGAGGAGACCTATCAAGTATAAAAATATAGACATTTAAATATTTTCGTCTTAGCTCATATTTTGAAAGATTTTTTTTTTTCATCAGTTTTTCGACACTTACAGAAAAAAAACGGATTTTGAAGATATTAATCTGAAAAAAAAATATTTTAACTATAATTGAAAAATTGAACATGCTTTTAGGAATCCAGATGATTTAAAATGAAATTTTTTCTTTTGTTCTTTTGATCAGATAAATATTTATATATAGAGGGTAAGTAAATAACAAAATGAATAAATGAATAAAACCTCATGTTGTTTAGAATGTAAAAATGTAATTGACATTTACTACATTTCTCCCATAAACATTATATATATATTTGGATTATATATATATATATATATATTATTTTTTATAAAAAAATTATAACATAAGTATGTTATAAAATCACTACAAAAATAGCCATTTTGTTTCAACACATATATATATATATATACCAATTATATACTGATATATATATATATATATATATATATATATACATCATTTAACTAAGAAATCAAATTTGGAGGATGGAATTTAATTTCTAGAAATACCATGAAATTAAGTTAGTGGGTCATAACAGATTTAAAAAATATATATATTTTTACCAAGATTTTCTCAAAATAAGAATTTCAAAAATAAATTCATTCATTTGTGAATAAGTCTTGAAAGTTTAATTGAATTCCAACAGTTTATTTGATTTTTGGATGAATTTCCAAATCAATGCATTATTTTACTGCAAAAAGGCATTAAAGTTTCCATAGCCAAATCTCTTACACCACAGATGCATAAAAAAAAACAAGATTTTTAGCCAAAATTTCAAACATGTTAGAAAGGAGTAAAAATTAAAAAATAATTTGGTCTTTCCTCTTAATAATAACAAACATTTTGACAATAAAACTTTTAGTGAAAAAGTGGAGGTACCTAAATCAGACCAGGAAATGCTTATATTAAAAAATGCTTGATACAGAATTCAAAAGAATCGAAAATGCAGAGCTTTTAAATGTTTAAAAATAGGAAGATCAACCACTTAGGCTACTATGGTTTCAACCATTTTTTTCAGGCAGCTGAGGCTAATCCTCTCTCTCTCTCTCTCTCTCTATATATATATATATATATATATATATATATATATATAGGGCTTCAAGTGTTATTTTAGTGGATACTTGTATTTGAAATAGACTCCCCATTTTTATTTTAAACAGTGTGTATTTAGGATTTTTGCTCAGTTATATCCCCCACCCCAACTCTTATAAATATAAAATTACATCAATAAAAACATTACTTTAGTCTGATAAAATCCTTCTAGATTATGAAACACATTACAAAGAATTTTTCCACTTTGTCATTCATTTGCCATATGTATATATATATATATATATATATATAAATAAAGAGAAAGAACAGCAAGATATATAATCAGGTGTTCTTATAGATATTTTTATTTTTACAGAATAGTGCTCAATGTAAATTTACAGAGCATTAATATTATAAATTAATTGATTTAAAATATGTTTTTTTTTTTCGCTACAGTTCTAACCATGTTTCAAAAATGAAAGCTAAAAACCCAGGATTTAATTTTGTAATTAAATTAAAGACATTAGTTCCATTTCACCCTCAAGCGAATTTTGGAGTAACTTTTAAAATTACAGGGTTTTAAATACACAGCTAAAAACATAATTCATTTTTTCCAAGGTTACAGATAAATCCAGTTTACTAGACTAGGGGTGTCTGGGTGTTCAATATGTCTATATTTTAATGTATCAGTTATTGTTATAGGAACTATATATATATATATATATATATATATATATATATATATGTTCCTACAGATCCAGGGAAAAAAATATTCCAGGACGATGTTATAAAGTTTCAAGGACTAAAACGGACATGCACACAAAATCAATGGTCATCAATTTCAAAAACAGAAATGTTGTGATTTATCTTTTAATAGTTTGACAAATGAGATGTTCAAAGAAAACCTACATCTGGTTCCAATAATTCATGTCACATGGATCATTTGAAAGCAGTGAAGAAATCCAAGCGTTGAAGGCTAAAACACAACTGAATGCAGACCTGGTTATGTTACACATTTTGTGTAGCATTCTACTACACTTGAAAATGTCAAATTACACTTGAATTCTTACTGCTACACATTTCAGTTATCAAGACGACTTGTGGTTTGTGAATGTCACAATTATTCTTGATTGCTGGACATTTCCTGTGATGTAATGGTTTTAATACCAACAGAACTACAAATAGAAATTTTCACAAAAAGACAACACATTTTAGCTACCCCTACTATTCATGGCTTTCATTGCACATGGCACAGAAAACAATGATGTTAACATTTTTTTCAGTTCATCTAGTTTAGCATTCCGCTCCTACTAGAGATCAAAAGGACTTTTTACTTTTGAAATTGACACATGTTCAAATTCTAAAAAACATTGATAAATTTTTAGAGATCCTATGAAAATGTATTTTTATTACTGTAAAACTACAAATTCAATGAGTATGAATTAATTTTTCTTTGACGGGAGATGTTTACTTGTCTCAAACTCTTTATTATCTTTGCTTTTCCTCTTTTCTTGTTGAATGAGGATAACAATGAGAAGAAGACATACCTTCATATTCTTTCTCCCTTTCATTCTTGTTCCTTAGAGAAGAAAATACAGAAGTAACTATGAGGTCATGAAATCGTCCTCATCAAGGAAACAAACCAATGCCAAATATTACTGATGACTAAAAAACATTTTTCATAAAGGACAATTTTAGCTTGGGGGGGAAAAAAAAAAAAAAAAAGAAACCTGGATTTCTGGGATTTCGCATTTTAACTTTCTTGAACTGAGAAAAAGGATGTCTGGGCAACAAAATTTAGAAAATTCCAGGACTTTTCAAGGAGCTTTTGAGCTATTGCTGTTTTTGCAGGACTTTTTAAGCCCTGGAAAATGACCTGTCAATTTTATGGCATGTAAAACACTGCTTCAAAGAAAAATATTCAATACATGATTTGTCCATAATTTATCCAACTATTTTAAATATTTTAAGAACCTTTTGTGCGGCCTTGATGTAACTTGATAACCAATCAGATGGAGTCTGACTGCACATGTGTAAACAGACACTCTTCCATGGAGTTATTCAGTTGTTAATGTAATGTCATAATGTGTTTTCTGTGAGCAGTGCATTTGCAGTTACCAAGGAAATAGATAAAAGCTTACACAGGAGTTTTGGTTTTTAGTGTTGTTTAGACTGTTGCTTACAGTTCAGTCTGGCTCTCTTAAGATTAAAGAGATTTCAAAGTGTAGACAAAATAAAAACAAAAAAAAACATACAATAAGGTAGCTGACATCAATCCCAAAAGAGGATTTTTGCAAGACTATTTTGAAAACTGGAAGAAATACTGGGATAAATATCAAGGAGTACTTTGAAGGGGACTAAGGAGCCAATGCTCTAGGGAGGCTATTTTCTCAATATTGAATATATTTACAGATAAACCTTGTATATACTTGTAATTTAAGAAGAGTCAAAAATAAATACTAACTTAGCATTTCCCTTCTATTATAGACAATTTTTAGTCTTTTTTTTTTTTTTTTTTTAACAAAAATCAACATACACTAAAAACCGGTCTTTATTAGAATAATATTTGAGTATTTTTTAATCATTTCACCCCAAGCAAGGCAATAAATTTACTAGGACGCAAGGGACATTACTTCTTTAAAAAATATAAGAAAAACTACTATTAAGGAGAGAGGACAATAAAGGAACAAGAATTAAGAAGACAGAAGATAACATCTGACATTGCATTTAAATTTTTGAAGATCAAAGTTGACTGGAAATCAAGAAGACGGAAGAGAGTTCCTCAAGCGTGAAGTGCAATAGAAGATAGTTTCAGAATAAGATTACATAACCTAAACTTTTCTTCCTCCATTTTGAAAATAAGAACATGAAAATGAATCTTGATAACTATGTTCATCATTGTCACTTTTTAACATTTCAGCCAATCAGCTCTCCAACCATCATTAAATGTACACAACATTTGGTAACCTTCAAGAAGCGGAAAAAATATTCAAGCAATGACAGCTGGAAAGCAGAGCAACCAATCAAGATGAAAATATAAGAGAACAAGCCACATTATATTTTTCTTGCTATCTATATACTTATTATATATATATATATATATATATATATTATAAATTAATTGATTTAAAATATGTTTTTTTTCGCTACACAGTTCTAACCATGTTTCAAAAATGGAAGCTAAAAGCCCCGAATTTAATTTTGTAATTAAATTAAAGACATTAGTTCCATTTCATCCTCAAAAATAATATATATATATATATATATATATATATATATGAAGAAAAATATATACGGAAAAAACAAACAAAAATCCTTATATACAATTATGTTGTTTTAATGTTAATATGTCAACATCAGACGTTTCGATCTAATAAACCATCTTCAGGACATATTCATAAATTATAACATTATCAATACAACATGACAAAGACGATGTACATAAGAACAAGACTTATCCAAACAAATAACTGAAAGTTTTATAAGATCAGCGCTCCGTTTAAAACATGGTCACGTTGTCGTCCCGTATTTTTTGTGAAAAGGAATACGTTTTCACAGTAAAAGATGGCTTTCAAAAACTGAAAGTACTGAGGGCCAAAAAAAAAAAAACTTTCAAAACAAAAAAAAGTGCTGGTCAACTATGTGATGTCTAATCTTTTATATATCACAACAAATGCTGGAAACGTTGTCACAAATGAAGAAAAACTTGAAGCAAAAGATTATGTGAAACAAAGAAGTTTTAATGAGAAAAAGAACTACAAGGAAACTAATATTAAGTCTTTAACAGATTGAATACATAATGGGGAAAGAAGGCTGGGAGAACTTAACACTCACAGAGCACATCAAAGAAATAAAAGCAGGAAAAAAAAACACAAGAAATCTGTTTCATAAGCTTAGTAAACAGATGCCAAAACAAGGCAGGGAAGCTGTGGAGAGCCTTGATCAACTCCCATCCCAAAGGGACATGGTACATAGAGATCATAAAATACTAATCAACTTATTTTTTACTCTTCTAAACTTATGACTTTTCATTTTTTTTTCTGAAATTTTCAAAATATTGAAATGAAATCTGCTTATATTTTTAAAAAAAATCAATGGGAATTTAAAAAAAAGAACATAAATTCAAATTATCTTACCTTCTAATCTGCACATTGCTATATACATTCGACTGAAAAAAGCAAAACAATATATTATTTCAGAGAAATAAATAAAATAACAATTGTACATATATAAATATGATGAAAGATAAACAACAAATTGAAAACGTTTATCAATTTTACATGTTTCACTTTTATTAAAGATTCATCAGAGAATGAGATATGGAAAAAAAGAAGAAAGAAATTCTGGTATTTTTACTTTTGTCTTGTGTGATTTTCATTAGTTAATCATGCATTCAACTTTCTAAACATTAGTATAATTTGTGACATTCCAAATTCAAGGATAGACAATGCGTTCATCTAAAGTTTCAAGAAATTAACACACACACATTTATTTTAGGATATAAACAAAATCATGTTAAAAATCGCTACATAATTACAATTATTTTTCAACAATACAAATGTGTCCCCTTGGGTGATGTTAAACTACTCTAAATAATATTTAGTTCTACTCTGTATTGAGCCCTCTTCTAATTAAATGTTATATACAATGGAATAATACTCCATTTTTTTCTCACTTTACCTGGATATATATATATATATATATATATATATATACACACACACACATATATATATATATATTTCCATGTATAAGGCAACCTTTAAAAATTACCCCGGAAAATAGGCTGTCATCTACTACAACAATTACAAAAAGCTAACCTTTTGTTGTGATTTGTCACTAGTAAGTAGGCTAGTATGCTTGCACCAAAGATCGTGGTAGGCTAGCAACTGCCTCGATATGGTAACTACCGATGTAAATATTTCTAGTTGAAACAATTCACATTATAATGTTGTACTACAGTTATAAATGTAATAAAACTACTTTTACTTCTTGATTTCACATTAAAATGCAATATTCAAGAGATGATTACACAACAATTTGCAAAAGTTCCACTGAGCAACAAGTAACGTAAACAAATATTTCGTTCTATGTCTGCTATGTCTGCGTTTACACCAATCATCATTTCTCATAATAGTGTTAAATAACAACATTTAGAATAACATACAAACTATATTTCTAATTAAAATTAATTATGGAGAGCTAAGTTCGAATTCCAGTCGAATCCATTTCATTCACTTATGTGCTAATATGCTTGGGAAAAGCATGAATCCTATTCTTCTCCCCTCAGCTATGGGTAAATAGCAGGACAGATTGGGTTCAATAGCTTTGGATGGCAAATGGTCTACTGCAGAAAGAAATGGCAACCTACAGCAGAAAAAAATCTGCCTCATCAGTCATGTATTGAAAGATACATGATTGCCTAAGCATGTATCACATATGGCACATAACTGTCATTAAATAACATTTTAACATGCAAACTTTATTTTTCAATAACATACATAATATGGTACATTTTCTAGCCTTGTTAAGCAACAAAACATTTAAGATGTCATAAAATCTTTATTTCTCATTACAGAATATGCAACATGTTTTTTCATTTGTACAAGTCATAAGAATGAAATCATTAATGTTATTTTCTAAAAGATTCATTATCTTACTTTCTATTATTTTATTCCTTTTCATTTAATAATGATAAAAGTAAGCAAAACAATATTTGTAATAATATCAGCTTTATTTTATATTCATAGGAATCATTACGATGGTCCTAATTTCTACTTTCAGTTGTTTTATACTATGGATATCGGATAAAATCACAAAAATTTACCTAGATTTTGGGTCTCGTCTTATCTATAGGTCACCTTATATGTGGATATATATATTATAAATTAATTGATTTAAAATATGGTTTTTTTCACTACATGTTTCAAAAATAGAAGCTAAAAGCCCCGAATTTAATTTTGTGATTAAATTAAAGACATTAGTTCCATTTCATCCTCAAGCAAATTTTGGAGTAACTTTTAAAATTGCTACCGGATTATATATCTTACTGTTCTTTTATATATATATATATATATATATATATATATATAGTGTATTTGGGCAGCAATACCTCTTTTATACAAGCTTCATCAAAGATAACTGACAAAACACTGCGATTAAGCTTTCTATTTAATTTTTCTTGTGTTTGTATAAGTGTGTTCTTTTCCGGACATAAAGTGTGTAAAAATTGACCAAATGTTCTTCATACCCAAGTGCTTTTGGCTATTCTTTCAGCCATTATGAAGGATGATTTTTATTTTTGTCTGAATACATCGATTTTTTTATGTATGTATCTTTTTGATTTTCCAAACATGGTCAGCACATTGTGACAATGTTAAAACCTAATGTTACTGATGTTATAGCCAAAAGTGCTTAGATATGCAGAATATATTAAGCAGACTTTCTATCACTTAATAATAATAATAAAAACAGTAACTAGAAAGACCCGTTAAAATCCATCTCTTTCCCCAAGCTATGGGTAAAACTGCAAGACAGACTGCACCCTATAACCTTGGTTGGCAGCCAGTATAAAAGAAAAAAACTCTGACTTCAAATGACATTGTAGGTCTGCCTCTTTAAATTTTGAGAGGATGGATGAGGTAACTTCAGCATCCCTGGTGTGAAAGGAACCAACAATTCATTGCACTATTCTGTCTTAAGTCTCACCATGAACCACAACAGGGAGATGGAGAGGAGTGGTGACTACAACAGTGCAAAATGTGCTAACAAAATAAATGAATGAATGAATAACAAGGTTGGTTTATTTAACGACATTTCAAGCCTTGTTGGGTTATTTAATCTTAAATATAAAGTCTTATGGGACAAAAAACACAATGAATTTATAGATAGGACTGCTTTACTAATTTTAATTGATTATAGACATTTTTCTTTTCATTATTAAATAATCTCACATAAAAAAAGTATGAAAAGAAAACAATTTACCAAAGTGACCATTTTCCCAAACTTGTGGAATCCCAGTCTTGTTTTGTCAGTGCATCTTGCAAACATTCTCGGAATTTTGTAAAAATATTATCCTGAAAAAAAAAAAAAAAAAAAAAAAAAAATTATTGGCTAATTCCTAAAAGAAAATCTTAGAATCTTGTCTTTGTAGCAAAACATCTCAAAAAGATTAAACAAAGAGCTAATTATAAATATAATAAAAATAAAATAAAATGAAGAAATAAGATTCAAACTTAAGCAACATTTTGTGACTTCTTCAACAAGCTAAATGTCAAAGTTCATGATTTAAAAAAAAAAAGAAATTCACCCCCAAGGCAATAAAGCCACTAAGAAGTAAAAGGAAACTGTGAGTGAAAAAAACTCAGAACAAATTATTAAGAAAGGAGAATAAAAGAGTAGAAATTATCAAGAAAGGACAAAAAAAGAGTAGAAATTATTAAGAAAGAACAATAAAAAGAGTAGAAATCAAGGAGACAGAAGATGACAATTGACACTGCATTTAAATTTTTATAGATCATGGTTGAAATCATAATTTATATTAAAATTAATTTAGGTCAATCTAGGAAAGCAAGAAGGCAGAAAAGAGTTGAACAAGTGAGAAGTGCGAGAAAAGAAACTGTTAAAATAAAAAGCTTATCAAAACAATTGCCATGAAAATATTTACAGAAAAAGCAAAGGGAAGCTACTTTACAACAGTTGGAAAGTGATTAAAGTAGAGTTGCCAGGTGAGGACTGTTAACATTGCAAACAAAGAGAGCATTTATAAATAATGCATTCTTTATAGTACAAAAGAGATAGAGTTTGAAGGAACAAACCTCTGTGCCATGGCTGTTCATTAGTAAGGCACAAGGCCATCAACAGAAAGCAAAAAAGTGATTTGACAGTTACACTTAAACGAAAATATGAAAGAGGAGGTAACAGAAAGAGAGGAAAGGCAAAACTAAAGGCACTTACCATTTCTTTTTTCCTTTTAAAGAGACAAAAAAGTCTCAGAAGTTGCTTTTCCTTATCAGAGAAATATGGCGTTGGTGCATTGGATTTACACTTGGTGACATACCACGCGAGCATATTGTCTGTTGTTGATGACAACAACTAAAAAAAAAAAAAATTTTTAAACTCATTAACACAATATTTTATTCTAAATATCATTTTTATTATGTCCAATATGAAATATTGATTTTTAATATTAAATATTTTAACAATTAAATTTTTCTTTTTCATACTGCTGTTCACTTAATTCAAGGCCTAGCTTTGTTTTGTTTTATGATATAATAACCTCAATGGGTTATTTGACAAGGTTTTTACAATAGTTTGGTTTGATTTGGTTTATTTTGTTTTATGGCATATCAACCTCAATGGGTTATTTGACAAGGTTTTTACAATAGTTTGGTTTGATTTGGTTTATTTTGTTTTATGGCATATCAACCTCAATGGGTTATTTGACAAGGTTTTTACAATAGTTTGGTTTGATTTGGTTTATTTTGTTTTATGGCATATCAACCTCAATGGGTTATTTGACAAGGTTTTTACAATAGTTTGGTTTGATTTGGTTTATTTTGTTTTATGGCATATCAACCTCAATGGGTTATTTGACAAGGTTTTTACAATAGTTTGGTTTGATTTGGTTTATTTTGTTTTATGGCATATCAACCTCAATGGGTTATTTGACAAGGTTTTTACAATAGTTTGGTTTGATTTGGTTTATTTTGTTTTATGGCATATCAACCTCAATGGGTTATTTGACAAGGTTTTTACAATAGTTTGGTTTGATTTGGTTTATTTTATGGCATATCAACCTCAATGTGTTATTTGACATGGTTTTTACAATAGTTTGGTTTGATTTGGTTTATTTTGTTTTATGGCATATCAACCTCAATGGGTTATTTGACAAGGTTTTTACAATAGTTTGGTTTGATTTGGTTTATTTTGTTTTTATTGCATATCAACCTCAATGGGTTGTTTGACAAGGTTTTTACAATAGTTTGGTTTGATTTGGTTTTTTTTAATATCAATAGTTTGGTTTTTTACAATTTTGGTTTATTTTTTTTTTTGGCATATCAACCTCAATGGGTTATTTGACATGACAAATAGTTTTTTGATTTGGTTTAGTTTGGTTTGGCATATCAACCTCAATTTGGTTTTTATTTTGGTTTGTTTGGTTTATTTTGCATATCAACCTCAATGGGTTATTTGACAAGGTTTTTACAATAGTTTGGTTTGATTTGGTTTATTTTGTTTTTATGGCATATCAACCTCAATGGGTTATTTGACAAGGTTTTTACAATAGTTTGGTTTGATTTGGTTTATTTTATGGCATATCAACCTCAATGTGTTATTTGACATGGTTTTTTACAATAGTTTGGTTTGATTTGGTTTATTTTTGTTTTTTGGCATATCAACCTCAATGGGTTATTTGACAAGGTTTTTACAATAGTTTGGTTTGATTTGGTTTATTTTGTTTTATGGCATATCAACCTCAATGGGTTATTTGACAAGGTTTTTTACAATAGTTTGGTTTGATTTGGTTTATTTTGTTTTATGGCATATCAACCTCAATGGGTTATTTGACAAGGTTTTTACAATAGTTTGGTTTGATTTGGTTTATTTTGTTTTATGGCATATCAACCTCAATGGGTTATTTGACAAGGTTTTTACAATAGTTTGGTTTGATTTGGTTTATTTTGTTTTATGATATAATAACCTCAATGGGTTATTTGACAAGGTTTTTACAATAGTTTGGTTTGATTTGGTTTATTTTGTTTTATGATATAATAACCTCAATGGGTTATTTGACAAGGTTTTTACAATAGTTTGGTTTGATTTGGTTTATTTTGTTTTATGATATAATAACCTCAATGGGTTATTTGACAAGGTTTTTACAATAGTTTGGTTTGATTTGGTTTATTTTGTTTTATGGCATATCAACCTCAATGGGTTATTTGACAAGGTTTTTACAATAGTTTGGTTTGATTTGGTTTATTTTGTTTTATGGCATATCAACCTCAATTGGTTATTTGACAAGGTTTTTTTACAATAGTTTGGTTTGATTTGGTTTATTTTGTTTTATGGCATATCAACCTCAATGGGTTATTTGACAAGGTTTTTACAATAGTTTGGTTTGATTTGGTTTATTTTGTTTTTTTTTTGGCATATCAACCTCAATGGGTTATTTGACAAGGTTTTTACAATAGTTTGGTTTGATTTGGTTTATTTTGTTTTACGGCATATCAACCTCAATGGGTTATTTAATGCCAACATCATTTTTAGGATAGATTCGTATGAATAGAATAGGTATTCTTTGGTTTAGATTGGTTTGGTTTATTTTGTTTTATGGGTTATTTAATGCCAACATTTTTTATTGCTGGTAATCTTTTGTTTGGTCAAAAATCTGTTTCTGGTAATATTTTTCCTTCAAAATTGTATTGCTGGTAATAATATTTTTGAAAAATGTATTGCTGGTAATAGTTAACTATTTGCCCATAGTTGGGACCCTAACAGGTTGAACCTGGGAACACCAGCAATTAAGAAGTGGTTTCACGCTCCTCAAAACCTCCTGATCAGAGACCTGCTGCTGGATGTAGTTTATCATCTTACCCAGGACAAGTTTTTACAATAGATTCATATGAAAAGAATATATATTCTTTGTAAAGAAACAGTCTGTAGATCTAGTTTCGTTGAAATACTTTTGTAAAGAAGGTTGTTGTTGAGATTCTGCTTTCATTGATGTATTCTTTTCAGATTCACGGTTTATAGAGAAATTGACTTTGCCATTCTCATTTAGTTTATAATTTTTGGAAGAATAAAGAATCCTACTGTTTTGAAAATTGATGTCACATCATCCACTCTTATTTTCTCCTGAAAGGCGTAGGAGTCTGTTTCAAAAAGTGACAGTTCTGGGGAAGAAGCTGCCCAAATGGAACTTCTTTACCAATGGAATATAAAGGAAATACGGAGGAGTTGACGATATATATGTGGCAAGGTACATCTTAGCTGTGAGGGTCTGAACTAGTGAAACTAAGGAATGTAGTGCTCATCTGAACATTTGACATGGAAGTAGCAAGAGGCTAGCAACATTAGGGGTTGCAGGATGCAAATGTGTCATAAAATTTGATTGAATAATAAAAACTTAAACTTTCTTATCTGTCTATATTTCTGAGATGAGGTATTATGTACACTATTTACATTATTCGGACTATTGTCCTCATCTTTGTCGCGATGTTTATCACAACGTTTCGACCATTGTACACACCGGCCTTCTTCAGGTGGTTGGAATGTCGAACTGAACTCTTTATTTCACTCACTGGGGTAGACTGTTCTGGTTACATGTTTAATGGATGTCAGTTATCAGTTATCCCCTGTTAATTTCCCTCTCCCAGTTCTCCACTGCCTTAGCTGGGTATTGAACTCACTGGATCTAAGCAATGCCTTTATCCACTGTACCATGTGTCCTTGAGGACATCTGTGTATTTCTGGGTATTATAAACCTAATGCCTCAGCAACCTTTTTTCCAGTGCTCATATTGCAATTTTTTGATGTTATCATTACATGTTTTTACCAGAGCTCATATTACAATTTTTGTTGTTATTATCACTTTTCTTTCTTTTATTTGATCCCAATGAAGACAAATTCTAATTGGTTGTGTTTTAGAAAAAATATAAACATGATTTATATTTTTAGAAATTACTTTTTTTAGCACATTCACCTCACTAGAGTATTGTCAGTGAAGCGATTTTACATCTGAGTGCTCCACAAACATGGGCATGTGCCAGACTAAAGCAAGATAGGTAAATATCTGTATAAATAAGCATCATTTCCAAGGACCAAACCAAGATTTTTCACAATTTGCTTACAATCTGTTTTCAAGAGTTCCTCAATATTTATGTAGATTTTATGATATGTTGAAATGATTTTGCAGACTTTTTTAAATTCTATTTTTAATGTTTCATAAGAAATATTTTTTTTTCAATTGAAATACAGACTCCAATCAATAAATACGATAATATGCATCCAAAAAAAGGAGATAATATCATAAGGAAATCATTTAAAATATCCCACATATATTACACTGATACGTTAAAGTTGATTTTGCTACATGTCAACCGATGTTGGGTTATTTAATGTCAAATTCTGTATAGGCCACACCCAGCCAGGTTAGAACTTTCAGTAAGGTTTAACATGGACACTCACAAAAGTTGGTGTCTCAAAAGACGGTTTTCTCTTCATATTTTTACTGTATACTCTCTGGGATAGTTTTATTGTTTTGAATTAGATTTACTGAAGTAATAGTCCAGGACCGATAGTGTAATATTTAAATCCTTCTCAAAATGGGTCATGAAATTTGCCATTGTACATTGAAAACAAAACAGCAATTATGAGAGCAAAAATGCTGAGAAACAAAATATAAATCATGTTTTTACCTTCACAGCCTGAATGGCAACAACTTCGACAATCAACTCAGCTTCTCGATTTGACTGTAGAAGTTTTTGTAAAACCTGACTAGGAGGGGTGCTTGGATATTTCCAATATGTTTGAAACTCCCGTTCAGCAACTGGCAAAAAAACAAAAAAAAAAAAAAACAGTTTTAAATAGTTCAAAGAATTTAGTCATAAATTTTGTTGATAATAATGGTCAAAACATGATAATGATTACCTGGCCACTTCCAAACACTGTAACAATCACACGGTTCCTTCTGAACATGGTTAACAATCACACCGTTCCTACCAAACACCATAACAATGACATGGCCCTTACTAGACACAGTAACAATTGCACAGGCCTTGCAGTGAGCACCTGGCCTACACAAAAACATCCAAATTCAATCAGCAGATATATAATTACATTTTGTATTTATATATTTTTTAAAATAACCTAAAACAATTTGTTAGTTATTAACACATTAAACCTGTAGTACCAGTTTACAATGTAGATAGAATAAAGTTTTATATATGAGCAACTTTGTACTGGCCATTTGCTGATTTGTGCTGTGCGATGGGCAGTTCAGAAATGGTGAAATTTGCCCAAAATATCCAGAAATAATTTATCAGTGGAGAGGGTGGGGGGCAATCTCAACCTGCATTTCTTTTTTTTTTTTTTCTTTTTTTTTAATTTTTCCAATCGTGTTAATAAAATTTGTAGAAAGTTAATATAATCTTCATATTATTGTGCAAAATAAACATGTCAGGGATGAAGGTAATTATTCAAAAAGATTTTGATATATCTTATTTGTCTATTGAACAAGAATGGTGTGTATGTATGAGAGAGACAGAGAGAGTGAAAGAAATATCAAATTTTCTTAGTTCTGATTGTAATGAATGAAATAAGATGCTATGGTGGTTCCCTTCATCAGTAGAGGTGCATATCCATTGTTAATATGACTCAATTTCAATGAATGATTATCTGAAACATAAAACTGTCCATCTGTCCTTACCTTTCATAAGTGATGTCCGGGCACGACTCAAAATTGCATTGTTTTTCTTGCACTAATTTAATAGAAAGCAAAATAAATAAAATGACAAGGTTTTATGATTAACAATTTACAGAAAGAAAGCAAAGTCATAAAGAAGTTTATTAACTATAGTCAATAGTTATTATTTAATCTTCTGAATTAAATTTATAGGCTGAAGATTTCTTAGATTATATATATATATATATATATATATATATATTGCTCACGATAGCATGACACGGAGTTTAAATTTTAATAAAAATATCTGGTTACCACAATGTTGGCATAGTTATATATTATAGTGGGGATGCAGCTTTTTAATTAAAAAAAAATATATTTGGCATTTAAAATAAACAGGTTTTGTATATATATGTAAGAAAAAAAAATGGTGAATATTGATTTTTTTTTATATTAAACATAAAGGGAAATTACATGTCTTTTTTCACAAAAGACAAAAAAAACAATTTACAAATATGTAAATTTGCATGCCTCTGCTGAATCAAATGCTCCCATAGCAATATTAAATTCTGGGTTACTTTTTTTGGTCCACAGATAACCATTTTGGTGTAGTTTTTTTGTCTGCTTTGATATTTATTTCACGATCACTAATAGGACATTATTTTTTACCAGAATGCAAATTAGTTGGAATCTTATTATTGTGGAGAGTTAGATTTATTTTTGACATTAAGAACACCAGACTCTATGGAGATAATGGTGTAATTCTCTTACGTAAAAGCCCATGAAATATAAATAGATTGAGAATGGAACTGATAAAACTTCTTAAAGATCACAAGCTAAATATTACCACTACCACCAATGCTAAATTGATGAACTTTCTCAATGTAACCTTAGACTTGAATAATGGTTATTACAAACCATATAGCAAAGATCTGTATAACAACAGATATATCAGCAAAGAATCAATCTGGGGATTTAACTATATTGTTGACATGGAAAAAAAAAAAAAAAAATAATCCCTTACTATAAAGGTAATTTACATTAACCAAAAAAAAAAAAAAAAAAAAAAAGCCTTAGACATAAGCGTCTATCTTTTTAATTTTGAATTTTAATGTAACTATAACAACAAAAACATTTCGATTTCATTTTTGCCTTGAAAAAGTTGGAAGACAAAACACGTCGGCAAAATGTAAGATTTTTTCAATTGTCATATATATATATATATATATATATATTTATATATACACACACACATATATATATACATACCTAGTTATATGGATGTGAGTTTGTAACCCTAGGTTTCATGCTTTTGCAATTCTCAGACAAATCTTCTCTGAGGATCACAAAAGCATGAAACCTCGGGTTACAAACTCACATCCATACAAGTATGTTAGCTCTATCATTGATATTGAGCACTTTCCAATAAGTATTGCAAATATAATATATATATATAAAATAAATCACAAACATATATGTATAAATCACACACACATATATATATATATATATATATATATATATATATATAATATAATGTGTGATTTATATTTATATATGTGTTTATAAATATATATATTTATTTATTTATATATATATTATATTTGCAATACTATATATAATATATATATAAATAAATAAATCACAAAATACATATATGTATAAATCACACACATTATATATATATATATATATATATATAAATAAATAAATCACAAAACACATATGTATAAATCACACACACATTATATATATATATATATATATATATATATATATATATATAAAATAAATAAATCACAAACACATATATGTATAAATCACACACACATATATATATATATATATATATATATATAAATAAATAAATCACAAACACATATATGTATAAATCACACACATTATATATATATATATATATATATATAAATAAATTTTACAAAACACATATATGTATAAATCACACACACATTATATATATATATATATATATATATATATATATATATATATATATATATATATAAATAAATAAATAAATCACAAACACATATGTATAAATCACACACACATTATATATATATATATAATATAAATATAAATAAATAAATCACAAACATATATATGTATAAATCACACACATATTATATATATATATATATATATATATATATATATATAAAAATAAATAAATCAAAAATATATATATGTATAAATCACACACACATATATATATATATATATATATATATATATATATATATATATAAATATAAATAAATAAATCACAAACATATATATGTATAAATCACACACATATATATATATATATATATATATATATATATATATATATATATATATAAATAAATAAATCACAAACACATATATGTATAAATCACACACACATTATATACATATATATATATATATATATATGGGAGAAAATATAGTTTTACACCATGCCAGATTTATGTATTACAGTGCTCTATATCAGGGATATATATATATATATATATATATATATATATATATGGGGAAATATAGTTTTACAGCATACTATATTTATGAATTAAAGTGCTCCATATCAGGGATAGAGCGTATGTAAATATAAAAATGGACATTAAGATCAACACTGAGCAGCAACAAGTCTGTTTCATGCTTAAATGCAATCTTTAGGACATGGCCTGAAGAGTACATTTAATGAGGAAACAGACTGTCACCACTGTTTATTAACCTCGATATCCAATTTTCCTGTCTACATGCAGATTATTTGTAAACAGTAATGCAATTACCAGGTAAATGAAAAAGGACAGGTAACTCAATTCTAAATTTAGAATTGAGTTACCTGTCTTTTTCAACCACCTGACAAATATCAGTGAATATAGAAATATCTTTTACATATCGTACTTTTGTATATTACGCTATATCTATATGTGCTAGTGCAGTGTTTCTTTTTTATTACTTGTTTTATAAGATTATATATGTAAAAATTATATAAGACTATATATGTAAAAATTCAAATATAAATCAAATGTCTGTAAAATTCAAAAGAAAAACTTTTCTTTACCAATGCATTTCATCTCCTGATGGACTTTATCAAGGTAAATATAAGGATTTTATTTTGCAACATGTATTTATATTTTCCCTCCACTTTAATTTTGTTTAGAAATACATGTTGCAAAATAAAATCCTTATATTTACCTTGATAAAGTCTCTTAGAAAAAAAAAACTAATTAAATTCTTACTCTGTCCTGGACATTGATTTCTACCTGAATTCTATCCTCTTGGAAATTTTGATCACTAATATTATCAATATATATATATATATATATACACACACACACACACACATATACACACACAGAGAGGATTGGTGTATATGGAATAAATTCCAATAAAAAATATAATATAAACAGCCATTTTGTTTGAAACAAAATGGCTATTTTTGTAGTCATTTTATAACATGTTTATGTTATAATTTTTGAATAAATTATAACATAAACATGTTATAAAATGACTATATATATATAAAAATATATATAATTATATATATATATATATATATATATATATATATATAAGTGTATATTTAGGCACCAATCCTTCATTTATGCATGTTTCATTAAAAACGACAGACAAGGTACTACAGTTGAGCTTTTTTATTTAATTTTTCTTGTGTTCAAACAAGAGCTTTCTTTCCTGGACAAAGAGTGTGTAAAAACTGTCCAAATATTTTATAGTTCTGAGTGCTTTCGGCTATACCTTTAGCCATTATCAAGGATGATTCAATTTTTAAGCTTAATTGAGTGTGTGCATTATGTGTATGTTTTAGTGTGTTGTAGAGATGTTTTTAATTTCCGAATACGGTTAGCATATTGTGGCCTTGTTCGTAGTTAATATTGTTAAGAGTTGGCTTTTTCTTTTTTATTATTAAAGCTTCCATTATTTTTAATCTTTTTTACAAGTGGATAAAGTTATTATACTTGTGTTTTATACCAGTATGTTTCTAATGGAGTCTGGTAAGTTTGTGTGTGTCTGTTTAAATGTGTTCTAATGGAGTTGTGATCAGATAGGTGTAATGTAAGGCGTCCAGATAAGCATGTAGTTGTGTAACTGATATAATTATTTATGAGTCTGGTTTGATCAGGAACACAGTTCCTTGATGGGCATTTGAACTCATAGATAATGTTCGTTCTTTGTAATTTTGACTTAGCTGGTGTGTTGTTATTTTTGAGGATAAGGTTAGCTGTCTTAAATTTTTATGGTAGATAATTTGATTTATTTTTTTATTCCGGTTGATTGGTGTAGTGCATGTCATTATAATATTCCTAAGTGAAGATTCATCTTGTTTGTAGTTAATGTGCATTTGGTTTTTGTAATAAATGTTTATGTAGTTTTTGACCGTATGTTGACTATTGTTATCACTTACTTTGGGGAGAAATAGTCTAAATTGGTGGTCTATAAGTTGGTTAGGGAAGCCATTGTTAATTAGTGTCTGTTTTACGTTATTGAGTTCTTTAAGAAAGAGTAGTCGAGAGGATGAATTCTGGTGTGCTCTTTTTAGGAAGTTTTTATTACTGCTATTTTGTATGAGAGTGAGAATTCACTTTTAAAGTTAAGGTGGCAAGAGTTTCTGCTATTGTTTTTTTTTATATAATGAGGTGATAAAAGTGTTGTTACTATATTCTACGAGAACATCTAAGAATGGGAGTTTGTTTTTTTTTTTGACTAAGTTCATAGGTAAATTTAAGGACGGAGTTTTTCTCAAATGTGGTCTTAAGTGTATCTATTTCTTTAATGTTATTTGCTAAAATAAAAATATCATCTATGTAGCGGGCATATATTTTCAGTTTACGGACCTGTGTAAATATCGAATATTGAACCATCCTTGATAATGGCTAAAGGTATAGCCGAAAGCGCTTTTTTATTTAAAAACATTTGGACAGTTTTTACACTCTTTGTCCAGAAAAGAAAGCTCTTGTTCAAACACAAGAAAAATTAAATAAAAAAAAAACTGTAGTACCTTGTCTGTCATTTTTAATGAAACATGCATATATAATATATATATATATATATATATATATATATATATATAAATAAATAAAAAGGTGTAGCTGTGTGTGTATGCAACACTTTTCCCTGAGTACACAGATGTTACACTGATCCTAGACAGAAATGTCATGAGGCAAAATTTTGATCCATGGCAGAAGTCCTTATCCTCATCTAAATAATCCCATCATTTTAGAACGGTACTATGCAAAGTCTGTCTATATTTTTGAGATGAGGTATTATGTACATTATTTACATTATTCGAACTATTGTCCTCATCTTTGTGGTCATCTTTATCACAACGTTTCTGCCGTTGTACGTTCCGACTTTCTTCTTCGAAATAAAGGGTTCAGTTCAAAATTCCAACCACCTGAAGAAGGACAAGAGCGTACAATGGCCGAAATGTTGTGATAAATATGGCAACAAAGATGAGGACAATAGTCCGAATAATGAAAATAAGGTACTATGCAAGTTTAAAAAATTTGTGGAAAGATGAAAATAATTAATTTCAGAATGTCATACAAAAAAAATTTTCTTTAACCAAAAGAAAGTAACATTAGAAACACACCTGTTTTTTTTCGTTGGGAACCTCAATTGAATCTTTGGTCACGTTCAGCTTCCTTTTACGAACTGATTGCACATTTTCCTTGCCATTAACCGACTCTACAAGAGTTGATACTTTTTCTGGTTCAGCAGAATTTATAATTTCCATATTTGGTGCTCCTAATTCTTCAGCAGTTGGTTTTGGGTTTGTCTCTAAGGAAATATTCATCTTGGGGGAATGGCAAGATGATGCAGGCACTTTTGCAGTGGAAGAATTTTGGGAAACTTTTGGTTTGGTATTTTTTGACAATTTCTTTGAATCTGACTTGGAGTCCTTTGAAGAAGAAGTAACACGCGGGGGACAGATACGGTGCAAGGCTCTGAAATTTGAAGAAAACAAGCATCGTTAAATGCACATAAAAAAAACATTTGTAAACAAGCGATGAAAATCATTGTTGGAAGCAGGTAAACATATTTGACTGATTAAAAATTTGTAAATCTGGCATTACTGAGGGGTTAATTGGTTGGTTCCCTCTCCCCCAGATTGAATAATTCTTGGACATTAGTATTACTTACAATATAATTCTACCCACAACATTTGTCAGAATCTAAAAATATTGACATTTTTATAATTTTAGATTACTTTTTTTTTCATAAAAAAAATTGTCAAATCTATTCCTAACTTTTTAAAGAGTTATCTGTACTTCCTTTTTTTTTATAAATGTTAACATCTGTCTCCATTTCTGAGATGAGGTATTGTAACTATTTCACTATTTACATCGTTCAGACTGTTGTCCTCATCTTTGTTACCATATTCACAACATTTCGGCCATTATATGCTCCAGTCTTCTTCAGGATCTCTCTATATTTCTGAGATGAGGTATTCTAACTATTTCACTATTTACATCATTCGGACTGTTGTCCTCATCTTTATTGCTATATTCACAATGTTTCGGCTGTTGTACACTCCGGCCTTCTTCAGGTGATATAGATTGGAATTTTGAACCCTACCCTATATTTAGTTCCCAAGGACACATGGCCCAGTGGATAAAAGTGTTTCTTGAAGTAATCCAAAAAAGTGACTTAACCCAAAAAGTTGTGAGTTCAATACCTGCTCACAGCAGAGAGAACAAAAACTCCTGATCAAACAAAGCCCGAATAGTGCTTTTGAACACGTATATTCCCAATCATTGAAAGATACATATCTGCTCTGTTTCGTATCCTAACATCCTGTCAGGGGACATATATTTTTCTAACAAGATTTTCTTGAATACGTAGACCAGTAGATGTAAATAAATAAATATACTGTTTATAGATAAATAAAAACAGAGCATCTACTCAAATATAAGTATCCATTTAAAAAATAACATTTAAACAAATAAATTTTATATATATATATATATATATATATATATATATATGTGTGTGTGTGTGTGTGTGTGTGTTAATCTTTCTCATAGTAAAATTAAAATTGTTGTTTTATTAACTTTTTTGTTCATGTTGACAAGTTTACAGCAAATCAGCTTCTCCTTTTGTCACTTCTTCATTAACTGCAAATATGATAATGACTTCTAATTTGCATCTCTACAGAAATTAATGTATATCCAATGAATTTCACTCACCTGCTTTTTCGAAGCAGTCTTTGCTGAGAGTTGAGGCACTTTTTATCAGCAGAAGGTTGTGAAGCATCCACTTGCATGGTGCAGTTTGCTTCAGTGGCTGTCGGTTTGGATTGAGTTAGGGAATCTGACTGTAAGAAAAGGCTTGTCTTGTTTTCACCATTGCCAGAATCTACGTCAACAGCCAAAGTCTGTGGTAGAGGTCTTATTGCATTTACGATGTCACTTTTTGTTGAATCATCAGACACAAAGGCTTTTAATAAACATTTTTTGCTTTTCCTTTCCCTAAGCTTTTTTGGGGTAACAATCGGGGAAATTTGGGGAATCATATTTAAAAGGGGTTTGATGTCTTGGAAATAATCACAGGTAGAAGTTGGAGTTGATGTGTTCACGTTTATTTGTTCTTTGGAAGGAGGTGAGGAAGCATTAGGAAATTGAGGAATTGATTTTTCCTCTGGAGTCGACGGTAGTGGAGAAACAGGGCCGGCAACCAGGATAAACTCTTTAATGAGTTCACAAGTATCTCCAGAATTATCTCCCTTAGATTTCCTTGCGAACAGCTGTTGAGAGCAAATGTCGTTTTGCATTTGTAAGCAGTTTGTCTCGGTAATAGTTTTTGATGAATGTAAGCAGTTTTTGAGAACTGAAGTCGGCTCAACAGGATCCTCATCTTTTTTTATTTTCTTCATGGACGGAGGGGAATTGTCATGGGAAACAGGGTCTACTAATTGGTTGGGTAAAAAGAGTTTCTCACTTGAAGCAACAAACTTTATTAAATATTTTGAGGAATTTATCACAGCTTTTTCAGTTGTTGCTTTGCCTAATTTATCGTTGTCATCAATAGATTTCCTGCTTGATTTTGCGAGTCTAGTAGGGGCAGCGGCCATCTTACAAGCAGGTTTTCTCTTTTTTCGGAACTTTAAAGTACCAAACCCGTTTGATTGAGATTGTTCTTGTGTGTCACCTAAAGCTGATTGCAAATTTTTTTTTTCTGCACTAACTTTATTTACAAACAATGGCAGTAAATTTTGGGTTTTGCTACCAACAGAAGAATCACAATTACTGACTCTGGAGACAGAGTCATTTGAAAGACTGGCGGTAAAATTCTTTGGTTCTGTAACAGTAACCATTTTCTCAGACTTAGAATTCAACTGATCATCATCATCATCATCTCCAAATAACTCATTCATATTTATATTACTTACAAAATTTCTATTTGCCATAGGCATCAGTTCTGTCGAATCAAGGTCAGAGAATTCCTCAATCGAAGATAGATCTCCAGCAGCAGAATGTTTTAACAAATCATTACAAACATCATTTTCATTTTGAGATTTAATGATATTTGCTGTCAGCATTTCTTCAACATTAGAACTATTTTGGTCATCAGAAATACTGGTTTCTTTTGTTAAAAGATTATCACAAACATTCACATTATTGCTTTCTTCCCCTTGAACAGTACGAGAAATATCTTCAGATGCAAGACTGACCTCAACAAATGGTAACTCATTATTCATAGACCTCCCACCATTTTTGGTTGGGTGATCAGGATTTTCATTGTCTTCACACAAACCATTGGAATTGTGAATTTTCTCACTATTTTCTTTCATACCGTTCTGAAGACATTTAGAAGCCTCAATAACTCCAACCTTTACATTAGGACTACACAATTTTTTACCATTTCCTTCTCCAGTATTATTTCTTAACAATTCAGTGTCTTGAAGACTTTTAGACAAATTCCTTGAATCATTTATCTTCTTAGCCTTTTCTTCTATATCATTTAAGCTACCTGATTCTATGTCATTCTCAGACAAATGATTGAAATCCTTAAGTCTTTTATCATCAATACAATTCTTTTCAGCATCTATATTGTTTTCTGTTGATTGACTATCAATTTCTTGCTCTTTTCTATTTTCTATGGAATCAGTTTTTTTGCTAGCTGATTTTTCAATATTTTCAGATAATTTGTGAAAACACTTTAGTCTTTTATCAAAACCATTTCCTAAGGTTTCTGTGTTTCCAGAGCTATTAAGTCGGCCTCCAATCTCTTTAATACTGATCTTAAGGTTTTCTGAATTTTCAGTGTCTTGGGGTAAATTATTGAAATTCCCAAGGTTTTTACAATTTTCTTTGCTGCCATTTTTCAAGAGCTCCAAGTTACCATTTTCAAAAAATAAACATGAATCATTATTAAGTTTTTTTGGAATGTTTTCTGTACCATTTGTTAAACTTTCAGCATCTTTGCAACATTCAGACAAGCTTCTGGAATGGTTAGAATTCTTACCAGTTTTCATGTGTTGAGAATCTTCGGCAGAGTCATATTGGAAAAAATGCAGTCCGTCAACTGAACTGGGAACATTGTCTGTCTTGTTTACTTTCTTTAGTTCGGTTTCACTCGGAATCAATTTGTCAGATATGTTCTCTAGTTCATTTTCCTTATCACTTGAATATGAACCATTTATGATACCATGACCACTCAGCCTCAAAAGACTGTCAGCAGCGTCAAATAGACCGTCTGGATCATAAGATCCCTTTTCACCGGAAACAGGCTGGAAAGAATGATCAGCTTTATTGATATCAGATTCAGAAAGGACATTAGGCTTTTTAACAAGAGAATTATTTTCTAAGGAAGAAATCAATTTTTCTGTCCTTTTAGGGACAATTGTGTCATCAACAGATTTGTCCCCAACTGAGAGGTTTGTGATTTGCAAAGGAACAGAGGGGGAAGTAGTCTGAAATGTGTCAGTAAGAATACGAGTACATTTGTTGGGGCTCTGGGAAATTGGCTCTGAAAGATTAGGTTGCATTTTCTCAACATCAGAAGACTTTGAAGAAGAATTATTTACAGAAAATTCTTTTGAAGATGCCATTTCTGGGGGAGGACTCATAGCACAACTATTTTTCACATTTAAAGGGATACTTAACCCAGAAGAATTTTCTTTAGGTTGACTTTGACTTTCTGTTGAAAACAAGTGAGAAGAAACATTTTCTGTGTTGTTACCATTTTCTAAGAGTTCTAATACTTCAGTTACTTTCTTAGATTCCATTTGAACTTCTTTAGTTAAAGATGAGCCGGCATCTACAGAATCTACGACAACATTCTTAGGACTCCCTTTTATTATAGAATCCTCAACATTTACATTAATCTGACAAACAGTCTGATTTTCATCACAATCTTCATTTGTTAACCAATTTTTTTCAGATGAGGATGCAGACAGCTCCTCTACTGTTGATAACTTGATGTCTTTCTTTATAGATTGGTCATCAAGCAAAGATTTGCTTTTATCACTTTGGTCTTTCTCTTTTGCAGAAGATAAATTTGGGTTGTTTTCAAATGAATCGTTTTTTCCTGTCATGGTTATTTTAAAGATTTTCCTATCAATACTATAGTTCTTTGTAGACTCTAAACATGGTGGTTTCAATTCCATTAAATTTTCTGATAAACTGTTCAATGACATTTTCTTGTTCTCTTTACTCTTTGTTACCAGGAGAGGTTCAAGAGTATCAGGAAGAGAGCATTTATCATTGGCATTTGTTTCAGAATGGTTTTCCTCAACAATGGCAGATTCCTGATCGCTTTTTTTAACATTAGTGACTGCATTTAATTTTTCTGGTGAATCTTTGACAATCCTGACAGACTCTGTTTGTTTTTCTAACTCTGGAGACCCAGATTTTGAACACACGATTTCAGGATTGACTTTAACATCAGTACACTTTAAACTGACCTCCATAGATGAAGCATTAGACAAGCAAAATTCTTTTAGATTTGCTGGATCAGTTTTCAGAGAATTTTGATCTACGTTTTTCAGATCTTCCATGCAGGAATTTATTTCAGTTGCATTTTTGAGGTTGGTTTGAAGCATTTTTGGAAGGATAGCAGAACCAGTTTTGCAGTCACCAGAATTACTTGAAATAGAATTTGGCTCAAAAAGTAAACTAGAGTCTTTGTCAACTGATATTTTCTTGGTTGCTTTACTATTTAAACTAGAATTAACTTCAGACAATCTTTTAGGGAAAGAAATTGATTTCTCATCATTTTCTTCAAAAGATTTCTCAGAGTTGCAATTAATAATACTGATTGGATTTTGACAATCATTTCCATTGGAAGAAGAGTTTTCCATTGTTTTGCTTCCTACGGTAAGATTTCTTGGATCTTTCTCTACAGAAGTGGATGATTTAATCTTATCAGAAGGAGTCGGATGCTTATTTGCATTCTCTTCATCACTATCTTCATTGCTCGAAGAAGAAAGATATTCGCTACCAAAAAGATTTACCATATCCATCTTAAATGAAGTCATCTGTTTGTGTGTTAAATGATTGCCTGGATTTATGTCATGCTTAATGGGTTCCACGTTATTTTTAGCTGCCTTACTTTGCCCAAAAGAGTTTGGCATTTCAGTGTTGGATTTTAAAGGATCCATTCCAGCATTTGTTTCAGGATCTTGTTTGTTAAGAATAACAGACTCAACTAGATTGCCAGAAGGGGCTTTAAACATTTGTTCATTAACTTTACAAACTTTATCTTCAGACAAAGGAGAAGAATTTGATGATCTGTTAATAGAATTTTCAGAGGTGCAAAGTTTAGGGGATTTTGCCAGACTTTTCAAAGAATTATTAGAAGCTTCAAGTTGAGAGCCATTTGAGTTGTCTGCCACCGATTCAGAGAATGAAGGTTTTAATTGCAATGATGTCTTAAATTCTTCTTCATCTTCAGATTCTGATGACAAATTACCAAATGTAGACAATTCTGCTTTATGCTTAATTTGACTTGATTTGTTCACTGATCTGACTGGAATTGAAGGTTTTAATTGAGGAGTCATCTTAAATTCTTTTTCATCACCAGACTTATTAAGGGTAGGGAATTTGGTTTCATGAAGACAATTGCTCGTTTTGTTTGGGTGTAAAACTGAAGCTGATGGATTAGACTTCAATGGGGAATTGGTTTTCTCCTCTTCATTATCAGAGTCAGATGACAAGTGACCAATTGTGGTCAATTCTGCCACAGTAGATGACAATGGACCAGCCATGGCCGATTCCCCCACAGCAGATGACAACTGACTAGTTGTGGTCAATTTAGCTACAGAGTTGATTTTAGGGTCAGGTTTTAAAACTGAATCCGAGTTTGGTAAAGATGAAGTAGATGAGGTAGTCAAGTTAGAATTGACAGAATTTGTCAGAGGGTGAATGGATTTGAATGAGACAACTTCTGCTGAGTTCTGATCAGATTCTTGGTTGGGCAATTCAGAATTCTGTAAAAATTCTAGTTCCAGAAGCTTTGCCAGATCATTAACAGATTTTTCAGAGCTATCCAATGAAGAATTCAGTTCATCCTAAAAAACAAAAAAAAAGTGTTATTTCAAAATTTCAATCAAAGCATTTGTGTCTTTTTTGAAAAGAACATATCTCTATTTTCCTTTGTATATTATTTGGTTTGATTTAGTTTGTTTTGTTTTACAGCATATCAACACCTCAATGGGTCATTTAATGCTGACAACTTTTTTTTTTCCTGGTAATATTTTTGTTTTGTCAAAAATCCATTTCTGTTAATATTTTTTTCTCAAAAATGTATAGCTGGTAATATTATTTTTTTTTTTTTCCAAAACGTACAGCTGGCAACATTATTTTTTTCAAAAACGTATTATCAGAGGCCTTGCTGTTGGATGTAGTTTATCGTCTTACCCAGGACGCGGATGTAGTTTTATCGTCTTACCCAGGACGCAGATGTAGTTTTATCGTCTTACCCAGGACGCAGATGTAGTTTTATCGTCTTACCCAGGATGCAGATGTAGTTTTATCGTCTTACCCAGGATGCAGATGTAGTTTTATCGTCTTACCCAGGACACGGATGTAGTTTTATCATCATACCCAGGACGCGGATGTAGTTTATTGTCATACCCAGGACGATGTATATTATTTGGAAATAATTGTCTAAAAACCATTTTCATCCTACATTTATATTTATACAGCCAATCACAAACATTGCAAATAAAATAAAAGCATGACAAAAAACAATAGGTAGACCAGAACTACATTTTGTTAAAAGCTGTGACTGTTTATATAAACCTCCAAACAGAAATCTTCACAGTTCAATAATGTACTACTTGATATCAAAAGTTTTAATTTATTTATTTTATTCACTTTTGGTCAAGCGAGTGGCCGCTTTGAAAACTCCACTTCACAAACTTCACTGCTGGCCATAAAACACTCAAAACATTTAAGACTAAGATGTAATCATTTACAATCCTCTTCCATGCAGGTGTACCAATCATAACTGTAGTGTTACAACCTATCAACTAATATATCTAGCTGTGTGTGTGTGTGTGTGTGTGTGTGTGTGTGTAAAATTCAGATAGAGTATATGTGTAAAAGGACAATAAGAATAAAGACAAAAAGAAAACTTTATCTTACCCAACACGTTTCATCCTCTGACGAACTTTCTCAAGGCAAATGCAAGGAATTTTTTTTTTTTATAACAAGTATTTATATACAAGAGCAAATCTGTTTTCCAATATTTTTTAGTTAAGGAACACTCACAAATATTCATCAAGTTAGCTAAAATGTCAGGCAAGCCATAGGAGAAACAAAGTGACATAATTCAATGTCTAATATATATATATATATATATATATATATATATATATATATATTTAAGATGATGGTCCCTTAGTGTGGTTTGTTTGATAATATCATTACTTAATGGGTTGAGAAAATCTGAGAAATTTCGAAAAAGCTTCTTTCTTACCTCATCACTTAGTGGTAAAGGAGATAGCATTTGAGGAAAGGCACGGAATTCTTCAATAATGCTCTTAACATCAAACGATTGTGGCATTTCTTCTACTTTCTTTTTTCTTACATCATCATCGTTGTCGTCGTCATCATCATCAGACATGAACCCCACTGGAAAAAAATAATTTCAATAAAATTACAGTGTATATATATATATATATATATATATATATATATATATATATGTGTGTGTGTATATATATATATATATATATATATATATATATATATGTGTGTGTGTGTGTATATATATATATATATATGTGTGTGTGTGTGCGTGGATGACTTGCTCTCATTCACCGATTGAGCACTATAGAGAAAGGAAATTTTTAAAAACAGTGGCTGCTCCTGCTATTAATGCATCACTCTTCAGTTATGAATTGAGCACTCTGGCTGCTGAATTGGTGTTTATATACATCATGTATATAATACATTAAAAGATTCCCTTTCCTTATTCATTTGTTTTTTTTTTTATCAATTTTAGAAATAAATGATTATTTATTCTAATGATTCTTTATTATTATTATTTAATTATCTATTATTGATTATAATTTAATTATTTATTAATGATTATTTATAAATAATTGGTTGATTAATTTTATAATTAAATTGCTTAGTTCTTCAAATAAGGCAATTTTTAACCCTAAAAGCAACATGAAACACATTTTGATCTCAGCTGGAGACAGAGAAGAGATTAAAATCTATTTTTAAACAAAATTTTTCTTTCATAACTTTTCCAAAATGGTAGTGCTAGCAGTTTCCTTATAAGGAAACATTTGGCAGGGCTAGTGTTACTTTCAGTTGAAATTTATAAAAATCTTTCTCTTAAAATAATTGTTCAGTTCATAAACTTATTGTAACTGTTAACTTTCCAGGATTGATGAAGGTTTCCTTCCTAGCCTTTTGTTTGAAGTCGTGTGGAATGTAAACAACTTGATTATGTGATTATTTTCTCTTCAAGTTACATGTGCTATCCGTTTTAGCCTTTGTTGAAAGTCTTCAAGTGATTTGATTTCGGTTATTTAGTACATTTCTTTTTGATTTTGTAATGCCAGTCTAGAAGGCTTGGAGAAGAATGGTCCCCTGCTAAGACCTAGTTTTCATTCACTCAATGCTATTTTTAGGCATTGATCTGAGAAAGTGACTGTATAGAGCTGAAGGTGCCATGCATGACACCCAATGACTTTTTCAAAAACCTAAAGTAAATAATAAAAAAAACGCCCTGAAATAAATCTTTTCTTTTACCTGATGGAACATCTACAGCATTGTTAAGTTCAGCCATTCTTTTTCTGTTTTCTGCCTTCTGTTCTTTCTTTGGTAGTAAACCTGCATTTATACAAAAGAACTCAACATAAAATCCATGAACAACACATTAATTTGAAACGAATAACAAAACATGAATGATGTCTGAAGTTTATTGAAACATTAAAAATAAACATTGACAAAATTATGAACGTATTAAAATAAGCAATAACAATAAAACAGTTTTATGGTCGTCAGTAAGCAGAAAAGCCAAAGATGCAAACGACAACTTGAGGTACAGAGATTTAAATATCTGAAAAGCGTTTTAACAGAGGATAGAAAATAGGGCATTGAAATCTGAACATGCATCGGACAATTGAAAGAAGCATTCCAAAACCTAAGCAAATTTCTGAAAAACGGAAAAATTTCAATAGAAACAAAGAAAAGTCTGCTGGATCGCTAAGTGAAGTCCATCCTCTTATATGGCTGTGAATGCTGGACAACCTCACAACACACATAGCAAATAATTAACGAGGAAGTCTTAAAAAGGAACATTTATACTCAGAATGTCCAAGACAGCTGAAATTCTTTGGACACATCAGGAAGGAGGGTTTCGTAAACTTAACCATCACAGGGCATATTGAGGGTAAGAGAGACAGGGAAGGCTGCCTGTCTTGTGTGAATCGATAGTGGATTGGTGGTGGGGAAGGCAGGAGCTGCTAGCTTCTTTATGTGCCATGTCCCCTAAAGATGTAGACGATCATGGCTCCCCCACAACTTGGTCACCACTGCAGCTATTAATAAAATTTCTCCTACACTCTGTCTTGCCATCCATTTACTCAACCTCACTAAGTACAGGGTGTTGCAGCAAAATCCAACACTTGACAAAAAAGAAAACGAAATAGGCAATAAAACCAAAAGTTGTATATGCAGCGACCCGACAGTTTATTTAGCAACAATTAGAGTTACATACTACATTATTTTTTCAATGTAACCGCCCCTGGCGGCGACAACCATCTCAAGCCGGGGGATTGTGAGATGTGATCACTGTTAGATTGGCTGACCTTTTATATCTTGCTCTCACTTCTTTAAGCAGATTGAAAATTGCTAAGTCCACTAAAACATGTTGATTTCCATTCTACCCGCTCCATGGCTAAGCACTCAAGGGTGTGTGTATATATATATATATATATATATATATATATATATAAAATGGAGTTTTTGTGTGAGTATATATATATATATATACACACACACACACACAAATATTAAACATCTTCAACACATCTGAGAAAAGATGAAAAATAATTCATTAGAATCTTTGAGTGTAAATTAATGAAGATAAAAAGAAATCAGAATCGAAAAATATGCAATAATTAAAATAATAGAATAAATTAAAGACAATAAAACTAGTGTGAAAAATTAAATAAAAATGAAAATTATTAACTGCCTTTCCAAAATAAAAGTCTTGCCATTATTCTGTGGATTGTGCAAACTAGTATCTTCATCTTTATTGTTGTGAACATATTTTCTATCCTTTTTTGACATGCTTGTAGCACTTGGAAAACCAAAATTAAAAGATTTTTTTATAACTATTCAGCAAATGCTCAAAAGTATACTGAAATTAGATTAACTGTTAATTCTTAAGTAATTAATTTAATTCTGGATTAAATAAAAAAAACATTTTAAAATAATAGTTTTAGCTCGTTCCATTAGCAAATCTATTATAGAATATCAAACAGTGTCACTGTATATTTATCAGTCACACAACCTGATCAACTTTATTAGTAATGAAACATTCTGTTGTCATGGTAACAGAAGGCATTACGAGAGATCAATAAGTAAAAAATAAGTTAGTAAGTGGACGAGATTAGTAGAAAGTCATTGTTTTTCATTTCTTTGTTAACTTTCTCTAGATGTTTCTGCTTCTAAGAATTCAAAAAAACAAAATCCTTTCTTCTATGTGACAATAGTGTTAAGCATACACATAAGAAAAAAATGGAGATTACTTATGGAGAATGATCGGCTTTCTATGACATCAACTCCTTATAGGTTATTTAAATTCAAAATTTATTTTTTTTACAGAATATTTTAATAGATTTTTTTAGAATAACAATGATTTTTCCAGATAGAAGTCCCACTCTTTAATCCATAGCTGGGCAGAGAAGTGACAGATTCCTACGTTTCCCAGTATAACCAATGCAACTACTTAATTACTTAAATACTGCTGTAATTTTGCTTGTTTTTTTGATGATATCAATAAACTATTCTAACAGGAAAACAAAAAAAAAATATTTCTTAATTTAAAAAAAAAAATTATATAAAAGAAAATTGAAAAGCAAAATAAAATAAAAAAAACAGGGACTTACCTTTGTCTAGCAAAATCTGGAAATACTCTTCCTTCTTTTGCTGGGAAAAAAAACAAAAAACAATCATTAATCATCAATATCAGCTATTATATTGATTTCCCAATGATAGATGATCAATGTATGTTTGAAACTGTTCCCAATATTGAGAAAAAGTGTCTAAGCAGGTACAGATCAGTGGTTAGAGCAGAAAACTAAAGGTCCTCCTCTCCATGTTGGCAGCACAAGTTTTCAAAGAAAAAAAAAGTGGGGGGGGGCAGACAAAGAAAGCTTTTTTTCCAACTGTCAATCAATACACAATTTCTAAATTTCTTAAACTGATTGAGAAAAACACATTTTATTAATAAATGTTTAGACGTCCGTCTATATCTCTGAGATGAGGTATTATGATTACTTGCATTATTTACATTATTCAGACTGTTATCCTCACCTTCATTGTCATATTCACAACATTTTAACCATTGTACGCCCTGGCCTTCTTCAGTTGATTGGAATTTCGAACCAAACCCTTTATTTTCATCTACTGGGGTAGATTGTTCTAGTTCCACATGCCATGCCTCTTCCGAGAGAGTTGAGTTGAAGGGAAATAACTCAGAGGTATGGCACGTGGAACTAGAACAATCTACCCAGGTGAACAAAATAAAGGGTATGGTGCGAAATTCCAATCACCTGAAGAAAGCCGGAGCATACAATGGCCAAAATGGTGTGAATATAGCAATGAAGATAAGGATCACAGTCCGAATAATGTCAATAATGCAATAAGAAAAATGTTGTAGTAATCAATTAATAAGGAATTAATTATGAATCAGTAATGAAATTCAGTTTATTAACCTTTACCACAGTAATTTCTTTTTAGAATTGTTCCCCCTGCCACTGCATTTTTTTGAGGGTGCAAAAACATGAACACCTACTGTTTTAAAATTGTTATAACTTTGTTTTGTGCATATAGATTTCAATTTTTGTACACTAATAAAAGAATGTATGAGTAATATTTTGATCAAATACATTATGTAATGCATTAAGTTTTGCATGCATGTTTTGATGTTGAAAACAAATAAAACTGAAACACAAAATAAAAAACAAATACATTAAAAAGTACATAAATAATTCAACATACTTTAACTTTTATTAGTTCTTGTTGAGATCTGGAGGTGCAATAAGAAGCAAAATTGCTAAGAAGACTTTCATTTTGTCAAAAGAGTGAGGGGTTTCTTCGTTTACATATAAGAAAACACCAACACTTGTTTGCTCTTTCTTTCACCTGTCTCATATTTATTTGTCTCGTTGACGAATAAAGTTATTATTTCTTAGTTTATAAATAGACAAAATAATTCACCTTCAGAAAGGCTATCAGGTATATAGATGGTTGCAAGTAGCTTCCATAAGATTAATCAGGCATGAATAGTAGCCGCTAGCGGTCATCATTGCTTTCCTCCGCATCACTTGTGTGGTTATCATCTTCAACCACTTCACCATCAATATTGACTCAAGTAAAGCCTTCAAAAACCATCATTTTTAATCCTAGTCAAAAAAAAAAAAAAAAAAAAAAAAAAAAAAAAAAAAAGTGCGTTGCTGGATATTGGCACAGCCATTTTTGTTTACAAAAAAAAAAAAACACGAAAAATTAACATTGGTTTAGTCAGTGTTACACCTTCTATAGAGTCTAGAAGACTTCAAAATTGGTGTTAGAAAACGGAAATTTAACCTTGTTCCTAAGCAATAGTAGGTGATTTCCAGCTTAAAATACCAGAAATAACAGTTTACAAATGTTTATTTATAGCAACTGTCTCAAAGTGACAAAATGCGCCTAGAGCAGCAAAAGGAGAGAATTCTATGGTAACAATTTGTCACTTGCAGCATGGTAAAAGTTAATATGGTTTATTTTTTTGTTTTATCAATTTTATCATCTGAAATAATATGAGAGCAGGGAAAAAAATTAGAAAACAAACAAGAAATAAGGCCTTCTTGTCACAATTTGACAAAACTGCTTACAACCTCATAAGTTATGATGGCCCAGATACGATAAAAAGTGGATGGTTTATTCCATATTTCCCCACTTATACACGTATTGCTTCTCCTCTTTTAGCAAAAATGATATCAGCTGTAGTGCCAGTGCAAGGGTTTCATCAACTCCCAATCTATGATACGGCTCCCAATGTATCTATTAAATTATATCTCATTTTTCATAAGGTAATATTTACATAAAATACAAACTTTACTGTGAATTAATTATGTACAATAATGGATTGTATGCAATATAGCTGAAAAATTAAAAATAGATACAATGTATCTAAATACAAATTAAAGACTTGTCATAATCCAGGGTGCCCAGTAAAAAAGCAGTAAATTCAGAAAGCCACGAAACAACCGGTGGCGACTGAGTGACTGAAAAATTCAGGGAGAACTTCTGCACATTTTATCAATCCCCACGTCGGATGTTCTTCTTTGAAAAATATGATAACTTGAGGCTCAAAATCAGCAAGTTGTTTAGTCATATGAGAAGGGCAGAATGAAAGACCAAAGTTGTCTGCAAATAACCTTTAAATGATGAGTCACAAAGTCGAGCAGCAATTAACCAATCAGAGTTAAGTAATTACACAAGAGTCAAATGATTATTCAAGGTCACAAATATTCAAAAAGGTTATTCAAGGTCAATTATTCCTGAAAGAGAAAACAGTGATAAATTTTCTGCTTTTTTACTAGGCACACTGTAGATCTTAAATAAAGCAATAATGTTTTGCAGCAATTTTTTACATCAGTTTAACACATTCAAACATTATGAATGAAAAATAGTGAATTTTATACAGTGTTTTTTTTAGGCTTAGCATGAGCAAAACAAATTCACAGATTTGAACAAAAAAGAACCTAGAATAACATAAAATTTGCAAACATTTATCATCCTTTAGTAGTCAGTTGTCCTTAGTTTAATTTGTAACGTATATAAATGTAGGTAGAAAAAAAAGCAAATGTTGATAAGATAGTGAGGGTCACAAAGCATTGCCCCAGGAACCCAATCAGGCTCCCCAGGCTGGGATGGGTAGTATGGACCAGGCTTGGTCAGCTGTGACAAGTTTGCCCCATGACCAAATATGTTACAGTGACTTAATTAAATGACAGTTTATTTTGTTTTTAAGATCTTAGGCATTCAAACCTACCACAATTAAGTTTAAATATTAAATTGAAATTTAATGCTGCATCAAAATCCAAGGCGTGAGCAGTGTGTCAGTTTACGTTTACAAATAGTTTAACAGCACAAAAGAAAGAAAAATTAAAATATAAATACCTTGAACTGGGAAAGTTCTTTTTCCAAGGATTTTACAAGTTTCTTCATCTCAGCTGATGAAGACTTATTTTCCTCAATTTCTTCTGTTAAAGACAAAAAGAATTAAAGAAATTAATTAAAAATATTATAATTTAACGATTTTTACATTTTTTTTTTTTTTAACTGAACAATGGAAAATTTAATCTGCAAACTTTTAGAAGCCATTTCAGAATCAGTTTAATTTTCTGATTATTGCTCAATAACAGTAATGTCATTTGATATGTGACATGCTCAGCAGCCGACAGGCGGGGCACCTCCAGAGGGTTATTGATGTTGCCCTCCTTGAAGGACATTGCTAATTCTTGCTGTTGCAATAAAACAGAAAACATAATGAAAGACAGCACACATCTCAGGTACCACTTGTTTGATCTGTTGACATTATAGATCTATTAGTTCCAAAACAAAGCACTTGAGAGACAGCTTTTATCCTTGGTCCCTGCATAAAATGAATGCTGCCATACAATGACAATTTTAAACTGTGTGTGCTTTATATATATATATATATATATATATATATATATATATATATATATATATATATCAATCTTCTATGTCAACATAACAGAATATCATCTTTGATGGTGAATATCTTTGTTTAAATGTCCATATAACTTTGATGATGGCTCATGTGAGCCAAAAGCTTAGATTAAGGAACAGCATAATAAAAAATATTCAAATGTTAGTTAATTTTTGTCTTTATTTTCTCCTGAAATTAAAGTAACCGTATGAAGTTTAGAACAGCTCATGATCAAACATAATAGATATTCATTATCTCTTATATATGTTTGAATATATGTGTGTATATTTGAGATAGGGATGTTAGTACAATTGGGAACTGCTGTTCAATTTGCATTGCAGTGACAAGATGAAGACATAAATAAATATCTGGCATTCATTGAATAAACAGCATTACCATCGATTGAAATTTATAAAATCTTTGTCTTAAAATGATTTTCGGGAAATTAAATTAGACAAAAGTTAACTTTTATTGTACTTTCTAATATTTATCAGTTTCCTTCCAAATCTTTAGTTTTTGGTAGTGCGGAAAGTCAACATATTGATTATATAATTATTTTTCCTTCAGGTTACATGTGTTATCCATTTTAGTTATTGCGGCTGTTGGAAGTCTTCAAGTAATGTGGTTTTTGTTACTTGGTAAAGTCCTTTATGATTTTGTAGCACCAGTATGCAGGATCTGGTGAAGGATTGTCTCCTTCAATATCTAAAGGATTCATTCACTTGATGCCATTTTTAATCATTGATCTGAGAAAATGATTGCTGGTCAAAGCTGACGCTGGTCCAAGCTGGTTGTTGGTTGCTGCCCACGTTGTGTTCTTGATCTCAGTAGAAGATCAAATGTTATCATAGTCTTGCAGCACCGGTCAATGCATGGTGTGTGCTATACTCAGGAAAACATATCTTCACATCAAAAATAAATAAAACAGGAGATTCATAGGGTTACTCTTCAATTTTTTTATATAACTCTTGATACAACAAAAATTAACCTTTCCCACATCAATCTCTCTTGTGACACTGGGCTTTGTTTAAATTTCTGGAAGGCTGGGTTTATTGTCTTGGAATCAGGAATTCTGGCTGGCAGCCATTGATCTCCCCAAAGTCATCTCCATCCTGGGTATGATGATAAACTACATCCACGTCCTGGGTAAGACAATAAACTACATCCAACAGCAAGGACTCTGATCAGGAGGTTTTGAGGAGCATGGAACCAACTCTTAATTGCTGGTGTTCCCAGGTCCACCCTGACCCAAGGTGGTAGCACCTGTTAGGGTCCCAGTTATGGGCAAATTGTTAACACCCAAACTTGTATAAAAATAAGTTTTAATACCAAAATATTTTGTAAAAAAAAAATTATTACCAGCAATAAAATTTTGAAGGAAAATTTTATCAGCAATAATTTTTGAAAAAAAATTATTATTAGCAATAATTTTTGAAGGAAAAATTATTATCAATCTTAATAATTTTGAAGGAAAAATTATTATCAGCAATAATTTTTGAAGGAAAAATTATTATCAGCAATAATTTTTGAAGGAAAAATTATTATCAGCAATACTTAAAAAAAAAATACCAGCAATACAAACAACTACACATTCTTTGAAAAAAAAAAAATATGACCAACTATTGATTTCTTCAAGGAAAAATATTCCCAGAAATAGATTTTGAAGAAAAACATTACCAGCAATAAATATTTTGTCAGCATTAAATAACCCATTGAGGTTGATATACCGTAAAACAAACCAAAGTCATCTACTTATATGCATTTCAGCCCAAAAATGGCATGGGATCAAATGGTTTGTGATTCTTTAACTTTCATTAATTCAAATATAAGGTTCTCTTTGATCCCTATTTCTGCTTTCTTAATCAACTTTCCAAATTTGGAAAATTATCCACTTTCCTTGGGAGTAGTCACAGAGATTGGTTTTCCCCCTTAATTCCCACCTGCTTTACTTCACATCCCTCACCGCTACTCTACACAGGCAGGGCTAATTTTCTTCCCCTTCTTTCTTGGTATATAACCTCAGCCCACTTCCCAGGGCATGCATAACTGTCTTTGTGACAAATCTAATTTTTAAATTGTGTAGGTGGAAGGGCAGAGTTCCATTCCAACCATTAATTTTAATTCCCCAAATGTTTTCTATTTTCCTGGAGCTATCTCTATCCAGTGAAAATACAAACCTGACCAACTATGACAGAATTTGTTTTCATAACTGCAGCCTTAATCATACGGCACATCCAACCCGTTAAGAGAAATTTGTTCTCATTTCAATCCTCCGAGTGATAGATAAAAAAATTATTTTACAAATCTGTTTTTTGTCAATGAAAATATATTTGTTTATCTAAATTCTCAACAAAAAGACTCTTCGTTTTCCATCACTGGGCCGGTCACCATCTTCAGCAAAAACTCAAACTAGATCACTTTTTGGTACAATGTGATTGATTTTTCATAATTTTAACCCCAAGAAAAAGATTGTTTTCTTTTTCGTCAATGAAAAATATATGCGTTTCTCTAATTTCTCAAGTAAGAGATGAAGCCATTTCTCCAAATCTATTTTTGTCGGCATGCCAGACTTTTGATAGATAAGAAAAATAAACTTTTAGGTGAGAAGAAATCCAGACGTCCGATTCTCACTGAGGAAAACGTCTTCCCCCTCTCTCTCTCTCTCAGCCTATATTTCATTTAGTATTAACCCTTCTCCTTTCATGCTTAGAATTAATGTTCAACTACTTCACCATCTCAGTGTCACAGTTGTATATAGATGATAGTTTTATCATTTCTGAATGACTTGGATGTCATGAATGACATCCACATGAGAGTTGATATTGTACAGAGATAAATGCTTTAAAATGACAATCTGTTATGGCTGTTAATTCTGTTTTAAGATCTTTTAGCAACTTATGGTTGATTATTAGACCATGGATTTTTAAAAATATATTTCTTGTTTGTTGTGCAATAGATTTTAGAAGTCTCAGTGGAATAAATGGTTCAAGTGAAATTTATTTATATAGCAAAAAAGGAAAATCTGTAGACAAGGACAAAACATTCTCTCGGTGATAAAAATACATTTTATTCAATAACTGCAAAAACTTATTGGCTGAATGTGGAAATAAGAAAGAAAGAATATAATTCAAAAGAAATGTACTGCCTTATGAGATTCTGAAAATATTTTACTTTGGCAAGCTATTGGTGGACAGAAAAGTGGCCCAGCTGGCAACAAATGTTTTGTGCTATCAAAATTCATCTTGGCACAGTGCATTCCTATTGCCCTTGTCCAAGGAGAGTCTATTCATGCCCCAAAATATATGGAGACCTTACATCAATAATTATTCAGATATGGTTGTATTTCAGAACACATGCTGCCAATAATCAGGCAGTGGACTGATAAAGAGAAGTGGGGAAACAGTAGGATTACTAGAATCAGTATCACAACCAATACTGGTACTATTCTACTACCACCTTACTTAACATGCAGCCCAAAGTGTATTAAAAAAAGATAGAACTACAGCCAGGAACAGATTAGAGGATAAAACATGAGAATTGATATCTAGAGTCTTTTATATATATATATATATATATATATATATATACTGGATAAAAAATACAGTTTTAAGGTATGCTATATTTATGGGTAAAAGTACTCAGTATTAGGGATAGAGTGTGTGTAGATATAAGAGTAAACACAGAGGTCAACACCAAGTGGCAACAGTTTGTTTCATGCCTGAACACAATCTTCAGGTCAAGTGAGTTGGTTATAGCTGGACAATTTATATATGCTGATTAAATTATTCTAAAGGCTACTGTGTTGAAATAATTAGGAGCCAGTTGTGTTTATTTTATAGCTACTGTATAAAGTTCTTTCTTAACTTTTAACTTATTATTGATTACTTATGGTATTTCCTGTTAATCACTGTTAATTCTTCTTATTTAATTTACTTAGTTGTGGCTACATGTACATTATTTACTTAATGTGTTTATTATTTTATTTATTTCCTTTAGGTGGTTTCACTATCTTATTGGCTTTCTTTATATAGTACATATATTTGCATTTTTTCTTGTTGATGTTACACACAGTATTCTTTTGTACCTTTTGATTTTTAAAGTAATGCAGTAAAAATATGTTTGCATTTTGAGATATGTTCTGATTGTCTATTTAGTAATTTTTGTTAGTCAGAGAAGGTGATTACAGCTATTTTCTCCACCAGACAAAGCCTACAGTTTTGGGATTTATTCTTGTAGGCTGGTGCAGTTTTCATTATTTTCCATGATATTTTTGGTGTAATTTGTTTTGAAGCTCCAGTGTGTATTTAGAAAGAGTTGTGCTGTTTGCATATTTACTATCAGAAAAAAGATGTTTTGTGTGCATAGTGTATGTTTCCAAGGCCCTTCAGTTACTCCTATATATATTTTTTCTTTGTTATCTACTGTTTTTACAGTGGCTTGTCATATTATATTGTTTTGCAGGCAATTGCTGTTTAGAGGACATTCATGTTTG